AAGCTATGTCTCCTAAAGCTGAGGAGAAAAAGAGATATTGAACTGTTCTAAAGAGTTTGGATCCTGTGATAATAGAGGACATACAAACATATAAACACACGTGTTTCTTTTATGAATTTTTACTCTTGAGAGCCTAATTATTTATTCTATTTAGTCTCATTGCACTAAAATTCATTGTTTGTCAAGGCAGAAGGTATGCTAATATGTGACATATTAACTCAGTTTTGAAAATGTAAAGTTTGTCATTTTAGGACAGCTGGAGCAACAATTTCTATGCCTGAACAATAAACAATTTTCTTACAGGTAGTTGTGTTATTTTGTGTCTCTGTTAGAGCTTTCCACAGACAGTTCCTTCCATGCTGCAGAATTTCAAGCCTGCTTTCCTAAGGAAATGAGATTTAAACCATTGTGTACCTCATCCACCAGTGAGTGGGTCAGGCCCACTTCCAGCCCACTGTTCAGTTTCGGAAAACTCAGACTGGGGGGTAGAAAGCTGACATAAAACTGAAGTTCTTCAAGGAAAACGGCAGTTACTGAGTGACAGAACTCAGAGGAAGGTATCCTTTGAGGAAAAAGCTTCAGGGTAAGCTTGGTGTGAGATTGGTATTTCCTGTGAGGCTTGTGGGGCCGAGTGGCTCATTCCTGTTTCTGAACAAGCTGCAGCATTTTCTGGGAGGGAGGAGAAAGAAACCATAGAGGGACGTACAACTGAGATTACTATTGCTGTGGCCTGTAGAGGGTTGTATGGATATGACCCAAATCCACATGAAACTAGATGTCACACATTTTGCTGCTTGTGGAGCAACATGTTCTTTTATATTCTTTTCAGATGAATGTTATTTATTTATTTATTGTTACTTATTTCTAACAAATCCCAGTGATTAATTTATATCTGTAATGGACTGAAAGCTCTTCTGTATTAGTGCAGTAATAACTTCCAAAAGCAGGGAAAATTAACAATTCCCAATATAAGGATATATTTGCAGATACTTGACACTAAGATTGTGAGTTTCTATCAAAATCTACATGGATGGGATAGCTTAAATGGTTTATTTTCATCATGGAGGTAGTTGTATCTCTTTCTAAATCTTGTCGCTCAGGTATTTATGTCATGATCTTTAGTGACCTCTGCATTAGTTTTTGCAAACGGTAAAGTTGAGAGTTTGGTAATGTCTCTAGTGAATGAATGAGTACACAAAAAAAACCTTCAGCACATGTGATACAGCTTTCAGCCCTACTGACAGCTTGTGCAACATGGACAGGGAGGGAAAGAGCGTCCTCTTGTCCCTAGATGAGTTTTAGAGGACCAACTGTTGGGGGATGCTTGCAGGAAAATCCAGAAGAACCACACATAGTCTGTTGCACGGTAGTTGCCTAAAAAGTGGAGTTCAGATTCCTGACCTGTCTTTCACAAACACTTCTTACAAAACAATGTTTCTGCAGGTGTTTGAGCATATTCAAATTGATTCTGAAATGGAGAAGTCAGTCATGTAAGTTTGCTTCAGGGATGGTGTAATTTGCTTTGCATTAGTGAGGAGTGGAAAGAAAAGAAGAAAAGTAAATTTCTGTAATTAAAATGTGCGTTAATGAAAGTGTGGACAAGAAAGCTTGCCCCTCTCACTGGTTCTGTCTGAAAAAAACCCTCAATAATTTGCATTCATAAGTGCATTTTTATTTAATTTTCCTTTTTTTTTTTTTAATGAAGCATTCTCTTCATGCTTAAATTCCTCTATTTCAGAATTTATGAAGCAAATAACCCAAACTGTATAATCACTGATGAGGGACGTAAGCTGCAAGCAAAATGCAAGCATATATGGACAGAATCTGGGATCAGAAAATCAGTCAGAATACAGCAGCTTATGTGTTAATCCACCTGTAAGAGTCTGACGTGTCACACAAGTGACGTGTTCTCTAAGCATTAGTCTGGAGTTCTCTTATGAATAGTCAGAATTAACAGATGTTCAGCTGGACTCAAAATCTGAGGACTCAGTGCTGTGAAAGGTTACAGTAATGGTCTGTTTACCTCCTCTTCTGTGAACGCAGCTAACACTGGCAGCATTATCATTTTCAACACAAAGCCAGAACTATCATTTTCAGGTACCAGAAGTACTTAGGGGCATATAAAGGAAGTTTAGGGAATGCCAATGGTTGGATTAGTTAATTATATTAACTAGTTATTAATTAAATGATCATAGAAAGGCATTACAGACTTCAATAAGGAGTAGAAATGAACACTTGTCTTAGATTGTAAGTGCACTAGTGCACTGGGAGCAATATATACATTCTTTGTGATGAAAGAGGGCTACATTTGGTAGAGTCATGCATTGCCAGTTCTGCAGCTAGTATAATGACTTAGGAATAATTTAGCGTAACATAGAAATTTTTGCAGTTACACTGTTTTGTAACACAGATTATTTTACATTTACTTCATAGTTTTGGGTATTTTTTTTTTTAAAGTCCACTATATAACTGGAAGAATGTAGAGCTAAGAATGCCCATTTTTCTATGGATTTGTGTGTTGAAATTTATCTCATGTATTCTAACTCCTTGGTGTCTAAAATGGGCATTTTCCTTACTGTAGGCAATACTGAGGTGTCTGTTTCCATGAGGAATTTTAAAGTATTCCAGGCCCAAAATAAAGTTGGCTGTTGTCAGCCAAGAGTTTAAAAAGTTATTACAGTGGGAATTCACCCCTGCTCCACACTTATATCCTAGAAGAGTACCAGAGAAAAATGCCTGTGCTTATTAATTTAATTCTATATTAACAAATCTGACCCTTAATGCACTTGTGTATGTTGCTCTGAAGTCACTAAAGATGGGGCATGAAGCATGTCATATGTCACAAACTGTGAACATGGCTCAAAAGAATTTGAGTGTCATCTGACAAGTAACACGTGTCTTGTTCCTGTGTACATTCAAAGCAAAAGATACTGTAAGGGAGAAGTTAACTAGTGTCTATCAAACATTTTGTAAGTAGCTTCATTTACAAAGTAAGACTTCTTTCTGAGAACCCCAGATGAATCACTTCACACTCCATGCCTCAGGTCTGCTTCCAGCACATTACAATGTCATTTACTGTTTTGAATTTACATTTTAGAATATATATTTAATATGTGATGCTTATAATGCTTGCTGTGGTCATTAATTCAGAAGATCTTGCATAGCCTCAGAGTAGAATACTGCTCCACATTCAAGTTTGCCTTAGTAGTTGATGCTGCTTTGTTTTTCAAAGAAAGATCAAACCAGTTCAAAGAGGTAATACATGAAGCACAGAATACTAGAGGAGCAAATATAAGGTCAAATAAGCTATAAAACATTCATAACAGCTGTAAATTTTCAAAACCGCTTATATCCTTCTCGTTTCCAGGAACTTGTATTACCTACAACTTTGTGCAATCCAAAAGTTAATTGTTACACAGAATGAGGCATTTTCTGATTAGCAAGGGAATTAGCTGTGTTTAATTACTCCTCTGGTAATCTGGTTTATGGTGGTTTCCTTCAAGGCTAAGCTAATCAGTAGATAGAAAATCCTCCTACCCATCAGTGAAGACCAGATGGAATTCTTATACAAAAGTAGGGAAGGGCTAGAAGGCTTTAGCTACTCTCATTTCCTAAGACTCTCTTAGCAAAGCACTGTAGAAGGGTGCTGCACTGACAGGTAAAAGCCGCTGCTCCTATCCCTCCCGACAGACAGGCCGTGACTTCCCAAAGGGAAAGCACAGGCACGGGGTGAGTAATGAGACTAAACATGTGTAAACAGGCTTTCAGTGCAGCAGTGCTGTCTGTGGAAGCCAGCGCCTGAGAAGGCAGTTATTATTAATGATGTAAAAACCCCACATTAAAAAGTAATCAGGATCGATTATTTATTTGGTGATTTTTTTTACCTGGGCTTGGCAAACACACTCACATGTCCTCACAGTGCTGCTGCACAGGTCTCTTGCAGGAGAACTGCTTTCACAACACAGCCTTTTACTGTGCTTCCTCAGACATTGCCATCAATACAGTAAGGCCAGAGTGGTCACAAAGAAGACATGGGCTTCTCAAACTACGTTTCTCTTAGTAATTTTAAAACACAAAACCTGTTGTGTTTTTTACCTTTCAAAGGCCTTTTCCTCAGACTATTGCCACTACAACTACCTGAAAGGAGGTTGTAGCGAGGTGAGGGTCAGTCTCTTCCCCCATGTAACTTGATAGGACAAGAGGTAATGCCCTCGAGCTTGCCAGGGGAGGCTTAGATTGGATATTAGAAAAAATTCTTCACAGAGAGGGTACTCAGGCATTGGAGCAGGCTGCCCAAGGCAGTGGTGGAATCAGCATCCCTGAAGTGTTCAAAAACCACGTAGATGAGGTCCTCAGTGACATGGTTTAGTGGTGGAATTGGCAGTGCTCGGGCAAAGGTTGCACTTGACGATCTTAAAGGCCTTTTCCAACCTGTGATTTAAGACAAGGTCTGTGATTCAGGCCCGTTTCAGCCAGCTTCCCAGTGAGATACCATATCGAGGCCCACCTCAGTATTCCCCCTCAGCTAGAACAGAGGACGGCATCTGCCTCCAACGTGCACACTGCCAGAGTACCAGAAAGCCGAGTGCACGGCGGAGGGGCGCAGGCACCACCCCCCTGTGCCGGTGGAGCCGAGGCACCGCCTGAGGAGCCCCGGCCCCTCACTAGGTCCGGTGGCGCCAGACGTGAAAGCCTACGTGCCCCGCACCCCGTCCCGCCCGCCGGACGCCGAGGAAAGGGAGGGGCAGCGGCAGGGGGAGGCAGGGGTACCACAGCGCGTCCGGCGCATGCGCAGTTCTGAGTGCCGGCAGAGGGCGGCGCGGGGGGAGCCCTACCCCCGCGCTGTGCCCGCCCCCCCCCGCGGCCGGCGCGGTTCGAGGAGCAGCGCGCATGTGCTAGCGGCTCCTCCCACTCCAGCCCCGCCCCGGTGGGGAGGTGGCGCGTGGCTGTGTTTGGCGGCGCTCTTCGCTATTGGCGGAGGCGGCGCCTGCGTACTGGGGGGGGCGGGGTCGCACGGTGCGGCCGTGCCATGTGTGCTGAGCGCCGCTCGGGCGCGGAGGCCGCCTGTGAGCGGGGTAGCGGGCGCCGGGCAGCGCTGCGCCCTCCCGGGCGGGCGGTGAGCCGGGACCATGTCCTCCGCGCTGCGCTTCTTCTGCGGCTATTTCTGCCTCGCCAGCCGCGCGGCCGCTCGCCGGTCCCTGCTGCTCTGCCAGCGGGCGGCGGGGCTGTCGCTGCTCGGCGGCACTCGCCGCCGCCTCCTCGCCCTCCGCGGGCTGAGTCCCGCCAGCGGCTCCGCGGCGGCAGGGCAGGGGGTGGCGGCGGGCGGCGGGTTCCGTCCGTCGCGGGTGGCGGTGGTGGTGAAAACGACGCGGTACGAGTTCGAGCAGCAGCGGTACCGCTACGCTGGGCTCTCCGAGGAGGACCTCAAGCAGCTGGTGAGCAGCGGAAGGGGGCGGCTGTCCCGGTCTGCCCTGGCGCTGCCGCCGCGGGGCCCCCGCTACGGAGCGGCCCGCCGCTGGGCAGGGGTGTCCCGAGCGGGCCTGGGGCCTCCCCCGGCCTTGTCTGGGGGCCAGGGCTGGTGAGATGGGGCGCGGCAGGGCGGCGGTGCCGGTCCTGCCTCCTCCCCAGGCCCCAGAGCCCGACCTGAGCTGGCGAGGAGAGCGGTGCAAGCAGCGCCGCTTAACTGCCCTTCGTTCATCTGTTGCAAGCTACTGGGGGATTTGTGTAGTAAGTGTGTTTGGGTTTTATCCTCGGAGTGATTCCAGCAGCCTTCAGAAGGCTCCAGGCTTTTCTTTCTACTATTTTAGAGACGTGCATTCTGAGGAAAGCACCATGTTGTGAAAATCCACTCTGAGACTTGGAAAGGAATCATTTCCTTCAGCTCCTTTGCACCCCATCCTTGCGTCGCTTCCTCACTTCATCCTTAAGATATTTGTCTAATAACTTCTCTAGTTAAACAGACAGATCTCGCATTCACATCCATCTTGTCTTGCTACAGTTTTTAGAAAAACCTTTTTCGTTAGTCGTTAGGAAGCACTCAGTACAAAACCAAGTGACTGTTCCATTAATGAAGGTATACAAAAGAAAGAGTTAATAAGCACACCCACTTTTCATAGCTTCATCTCCACCAAGCTCAGTGATACCATCCTCCATATACCCTGTGACTCCCTGCTTCAGGTGCTCATCTGCCGCTGGTACCTGCTTCACTTTGGTTGCCAGCAGTCTCTGCAGGCAGGTCATGATATCATATAATTGTCTTTATTCTGAGTAAGCCCGTTAATTTGGGTCTGTCTAGTCTGTGGTCTCTTACAACTGTAAATGTTTTAGACCACTTTCATTTGCAATGTTAGGATTAAGCTTTCAAATGTTTGTAACTTATGTAACAGAGACAACAGCTTTTATTGTGTAGCTTCAATTTGTAAAGCACTAGAATAAAAAGTACAGTATCTAAAGCGAGGTAGTTCTCACATTTTTCTGCATACTTAAGTTGATCATCCACATTCTATGGAATTCCTGTCCAAACATTTTTACATGATTTGGAAAGCTCTCTAGTCAAATTTCCTGTAGGCACCAAATTTAATGTGGAAACATCAACCTGTATTCTTATTCTTATCTACATACAGGTTCCTGTTGCTGATATGTCCCTGTGCTTCTGTTCATACGGCAGCTGTGGAGTAGCAATAACCCTCTCACAGTTCATCTCTCTGAGCCTGCCTTTCTGTCCTCATTTAAGCTTGAGGAAGCATTTCTTGCTCTTTAATACCGGGAATCAGTTCTCAGTGCACAGAGAAAACCAAGAAAAATGAAATGGCATTTGGTCACCTTTCCCTAACTGGTTGTGTACAGGCAGGTCTGGGACAGTGAGTCAGTGAGCTGTGTTGTTAGTGCTGTATGTCCCTAAAGGTGCTCTCAACTGAATGCAGTGATAGCTGCTGTTTCTCTTCTCACAAGAATGCACATTTTGCATTATTGGCAACATCTAGAAGTCTGAAGATGCCTTTAAAGTAACTGAATGCACAGTGTCTAATTGTAGTAGTTGCAGAAACACTGTATAGAGTTTGTCCTTTAGGAGAGACTTGCAGGTGTAATTCTCCATAATTGGAAGAATTCTAGAATGTTTATTCTAGCACTGGTGCTTCTTTAAATCTAGTTTTCCCCTGAAAATACCTCAATGTGAGGAATTGCAGCAATAAAATTCATAGCAATGCCAGGTAGACAAAGCCTAACTTGCCTAAGTACGTGTCTAGCAATATTAAGTTAGGCTGCTGCCATATGGGTGGGAATACAAAGATTCGTGCAAGAACACACTGTAAAGCTCTTCCAGAATTGTATTTTTGAAATAGGAAATGAGAGAGTGAAGAAATCCTCCTTACTGCCTGTTTCTTTTTCAGCTGACCTGTAAGAATGTGTTTACATTCTGCTGGGACTCCATCTCACGTTTTTTCCCCCTCAGGCTTTCTGTGCTGATGGCAGCCTCGGTAATTATTAGGTGAAGGTTCAGGAGACTCTTACGCTCTCTCTTGTGGGCAGAGATCACTTCCTAGCAGAACGATTGCTGAAAAGTGTCCTTCCCCCTCTGTGCCAGTCCTTTGCAGGCAGCCTGGGAGCATGGCAAGGAGAGCGATGCATTCTGCCTCCTGAGGTTAGCTGCACTCTGTGCTCCCTGTGTCCCTGCTTCTCCTGGGGAGACTTTAAGAAGCTGGTCCCAAGGCTGCTGGCCTCTGAGAAATGAGGTCAGATGCTGCCCTTGGACGTGCAGCAAGTCCCTGTTGCTACTACCCTGAGCGATGCCCAGTTTATCCTAAACATTTGTGAATTAAAGGGGTTGTGAGTCTTGGCATTTGGGCTCAGTCACCCAAATGGCTGTGCAGAGGGCAGGGTGGAAGTCAAGGCTCATGTGAAAGTCTGCAGTTGGGATAGTGGCAAAGAATGAAAGCCAAGTGCACAGGAAAGGCTTGGCTCACCTTTCTGTTTGCTAACTCAGTTTGGTTAGGTATTTAGGGAAGATGAACGATTTAGCTATCCAAGCATACTTTAGATACAGTTTTAATTACCTTTGGAAACGTCATGTCAGATTAGAAGTTATGTGGTTTTTGGTCTTAATTGAAGGAAAATGATTCAGTTTGTACCATAGCTGATACTCTGTTGTGGCTGGTTTATGTGTCTGTTTGGAGTGGGGAGGGAGAGAAAGGAATTGAAGGCTTGGCACAAACTTTGGTTCTTTTGGACCACTGCAGCAAATTGGCAGGGTTGGTCATCTTAGAAATGTGAATTCATACAGCTTTCTTGAAAACTGGTATCTGTATGGAGAAAAGGTAACCTGTTAGCAGGATATTGCCTCCCCTGAAAAAGGTCCAGCGTGAACTCATTTTCAGTGTAGGGCACCAACAACATACTGAGCGTGGCTGGTCAGGAAGGATTGCCTCTCAGGAAGTTGGAGAGCTTCAGTTGAAGCTGGCATGTCCTTGTATACCAAAATAAGACCAAAGAACTGTGGAGCTTGTTCCTTCTGTGGTGTTTTTCTGTCGTAAGAGGAGTCTGGAAAATGATGGAAACAAATAAATGGGTTGTAGTAATTCCTTTTTCCATGACATTTTTTTTTTTTTCTAGCCCACCGTTCCAATATACTCAGCTATACATAGCAAAGAGATGTAAAAGTAGGGCATTTCAGTGTACATGAATTAAACGTCATAGATTATCTCATCGAGCATCTGGTACTTTATATAGCTGAAAAAGGCTGCTTTTTGGAAGTGACTTTAGTATTGGTTTTATGTGCTTAAAGAGTTGTGTTTATGACATTATTTGGTGCCCTGCTGAATTAATGAGAACTGAGGGTTGCACTGGGTTTTGGAAACCTGCTGCAGCAGAGTTACTGCTCTGTTTATAGTTAACACAGCAATTTTCTCTGCATTTGCCTTTGAATTACAATCTTATGGTTAAAATGGCAATAATACTTTAATGTGGTAGATGAAGAATGAGAAAATAGTTTATGGCATTTTTACTTTTGTTCCTATATAGGTAAAGCTCTTGCCCCCAAGCAGCATTTCTGTAAAGCTTCAGGAACATAATATTGCCAGTTTTGTTTACCAAGTGAAGAAATTGTTGATGTCGGCTGCTACAGAAGTAGTGGCATACAAAATGCTACAATATGCAAAACACTTCATAATCATTATAGCAGATATTAAGGCAATATTTGAAAGGCTGCTCTAATGAAAATGAAGGGTTTAAGTTGCTGAAGAAAATGATGAGGAAAGTATAAGGAAAAAGAGTTTTCTAGTTAAAGCGTCCCACTGGGTCCCTACAGAACAAGGGGTGACATAGCAAACTGATAGAAGCCTAGCATATGGCCAGGAGCAGTAATGGGAACAGTTCTGAGCAACTGAGAGCTCCTGCTTAGTACATCAGTCAACAGTAGACAGGCAAAGTGTTAGTCAGGTAACACCAGCCTTATCTTGGTTTTACAGTAGGTAGACCTACTGCGTTGGTTAACCTACCACATTTTTTATAAGCAAGCAATTAATGGCCTGTATGGTATGACTGGATGCGTTTAATGCTTCTAGTGCAAAGGCAGGTAGAACACACTTCCTGTTTTACGAAGTTTGAGAAGTTTAAATCAAGCCACTTCTGTGAAAGCATAGAATGGTTTGGGTTAGAAGGAACCTGAAAGATCATCTAGTTCTAGCTCCCGTCATGAACAGGAACACCATCCACTAGACCAGGTTGTTCACAGCCCTATCCAGCCTGGCTCTGAACACTGCCAGGGATGGGGCAGCCACAGCTTCTCTGGGCAACCTGTGCCAATGTCTCAGCACTCTCATAGTGAAGAACTTCTTCCTAATATCTAACCTAATAAATCTATTCTCATTTTAAATCTATTACTTCCTGTCCTATCACTACGCTCTGTGATAGAGAGTTCCTCCCCATGTTTCTTGTAGGCCCCCTTTAGGTACTGGAGGGCTTTTACAAGGTCTCCCCAGGGCCTCCTCTACTCCAGGTTGAACAAGCCCAGCTCTCGCAGCCTGTCTTCACAGGAGAGGTGCTCCAGCAAAGCTGTTTCTAGTTCAAAATTTAACACTTTTGGAAAAAAACATTTCCCCATATTCCTGTTAAATGTTTGTTTCTTTTAAAACTGAGAGCACTGACTTGTCTGTGCTTGGGGTATGTGGTTAATACAGAGTGACAGGTTTTGAAAATACAGAATTTTTAATAGCGCTGCGCACTGCTTAGAAATGGTTAGATGATTATACTTGTAGTTGTCGTAGTATTTTCCATTGCTAGTTTAAAATTCAAACTTCTGTGTTTAGCTGTTGCTCTCTAAATCCATTTATTTGGTGACTCTTTGTAGATATTGGGTAGGTGGGAAAGCAGTGATGTGTTCTTGTTTTCCTGCATGTGTAGCCAAGTTCATTGTGGAAATTTGTGGAAGTAATCATTTCTAGATCAGTGCTTTTTATTTCACTCTGGACAACATCCACGTTGCTGTTTTGAGAGAGCATACTGTTTTATCCTAATGCTTAGGTTAGCAATGCCAGTGAGACTTGGCTACGACTTTTCCCTCTAAATCAAGGATCATAATCCACATATGTGGACAACAGTGGGTGTTCGGATATTGCTTGGCTTCAGGTTGCTTCTATATTTGTGGTTAGATGCTATGTCCTCATTGCACAGCATTGTTCCTGGAGGGCCAGCATTGCTTGGGGTCAGCGGACTCAGAATTCAAAGCCGATGGGGTGAGACTTGCCAGAGGTCAGGGCTGAGACTCCAGAGGAGGGCGGTCAAGTCAATGTGTTTTGCCTAAATGACTGTTAAGGGAGCTCTGTGGGAAACAACTCTTTCACTAAAAAAGGATTCAGGCCAGAAGATACAAGAAAAGATTGTTTGATTGTTTTGGGCATTCAGTCTAGATCTTTCCTCCTTCAGGCTCCTAAGGAAAAATAACTCCCATCACAGAACATGTTCTGCTCACCTGAGTGTGTTTTCCAATGCAAATTCTTCTGGCAGCCTGCTTTGCATTTCATTTCTGATGTGAGGTTTAAGGATGCTACTAAAGTTATGCCTGAATGTATTTTTGGCCAGTTTGTCCCTATTTTTGTATGCTAATGTGCTTTTAGCTAGAGTAGCTGTTGTGTATATATTCATGTGTTTGATTTTACAGTCTTGCGTGCTATCGAGGTCAGATTAATAGGCCTAAGTCTCCACGAATACTTCTGCTTTTGTTTGCTTTTGCTAATGCCACCCATAGCTGACTACCCTTGTGCTGTGATGTGACATTTCCTGTACGTTTTATTCCTAGTTTTTCCTGTTCTGGGAGCCTCAGCAAATGGGACTCCATAGCTAATGCTGTGTTTCCTGTGTGCTTATAGACACATAGCCAGTAACTTCGATTCATCGTTACTTTCAGTTTCCTTTCTAGTCAAGAAGAAATCACATAACCTGCATTGCAGGGCTCCAGACCTATGTGTGGTCCTTCATGTAGGCTTTTAAAGCTTCAACACTGAGAAATGCCAGGTACTCCAGTTTGAAGATTTAGAGCTCTGTAGGAATATAATTTTTGTTTTCTAGCGCTCGTCTAGAAAGTAAGTCTGCAGTCTGGCAACTTCTGGAAAAGGCTCAAAAGCCTGTGAGAGATTCATTACACTGCCTTTGCTGTGAGATAAAAGATCTCTGACCAAGCTGAAAGATAGCATGCTGACAAATTAGCCAAATAAATGAGCTACATAAAATTGCAAGATGGGGTTTGCAGTTTTCATTGTGTGTGAAATAGCCTGTAGAAGTAGCAACTTGACAAACGTATGCTGCAGCAGCAGTTTGCATATCAGGTGCTTATGTTTCATTCACAACAGATAGTTCCAGAGAAAGCTTGAACGGGAACTCTGATTTTAGTAACATGGTTGATTTTTTTGAGATTATTTGCTGTGGGTTTCTTGTTTTTTTCTGGTGGCAAAGCAAGGTCAATTTGTGCTTTCAATCTGCAACTGAAAATCCTTCTTGTAGCAAATGAAATCTGTGGTGCTCAGCAGCAGATATTGCCTGTGGGATGTGAATACCTTCTTTTCTCCACTCCACTTTTTCCTTTCTGCCCCAGATGGATCATGAGAGGCCGACAGCAGACCCAGCAACAGGTAGTGCTGTACCTGGTCATAGCCTTGTGGTCTCTCTTCCTCCCCCCAGCAGCACAGCAGCACAGTTCAAGTTCCCAGTGCAACACTACGTTCTGTGGCAGAGCAAGAGGTATATGGACATGTGCAAACATTGTAGCTGGGGAGTAGAAACAAAGGGTTTAAGTGTGTGAGGCACTTAATGTGACATGACACCCCATACCTTAGTAAACCAGTATTAAAAAGCTTAGTAAAGATGACCTGAAAGCTTTGTCTGGATGTTTTTTCATCACCCGCATGTTTATCTGTGTGACCAAGGACAGCTGACAGCTGCTCCCACTGCCTGCCTGTAGTGCTGTTGGTGGCATCCCGGCAAAGTCTGTGAGCCCCTCTGTTGGAGGTAGTTTCTTGGTCCCAGCTGTGATAGCACCTGAAGATTTTGTTCTGCAAGTTAATCTTGCAGATTCTGCTGGACAGAACAGCAATACAACTCTAGAATGGCCAATTCCATTCTTTATTGCAATTTCTTCAGCACTGAGTCTGTCTTTGTGCTTAGCTCATGGTTGGATTTCTTGACATCAGAGGGTGTCAGATAAAGAAAGATTGCATTTGTTGGGTTGCAGTTAACTGTAATTCTCATATCCTGGCAGTCTTCTACCCTTTGCTATGGAGTTCTGTGTTGCGTGTCTATGGAAATGGGGTTAGATGAGGCTGTGTGGCACCACTTTCTTTTGGGAAGGGTATGCAACTTGGAGTAAAGGCACTTGAAAAAATTGCTGGAAGTGCCTATTCAAAGTTTCTGGCACAGATGAATTTCTCTACACAAACACTAGGAGAAGTTTAGTTTCTGTGATGGTAAATTGGTTTTAACGGGTTGGAGAAAAGAAGGCGATGATTGTAGAAATTCAGGCTAGAAGGAGCCTTAGGAGATCATCTAATCTAGCCTGCTGCTTAAAGCAGGATCACTTTTGTTATGAATATATGTTAAACTCCTTTTGCTTCACATCCTTTGCATTTCCCTTTCTTCTTGCTTGACCTCCATGCAAGCACATATTTGGCAGTCCCAGCCCCAGATGAGCACACTGAGGTGAAGAATGAATGCATATAGATGTTGGCCGAATTACTCGCACAAACACCTGCTGCTGCTGCTGCTGCAAAAAAAATCTAATCTTCAGCCATCAGTCTCCTCTGCCTGCTCAGAATTGTCTATGTATGCAAAACCGCAAAATATTTCCATGGTCTAACAAGTGTGTCAGGATTAAGTATTTAAATTCTCTGGATTCCAAGAAAAACAAGGCTAGAAAGAAACTGCTAAATGCAGTTTGTCTTGTTACTGGTGAGAGTTTGCTTAAAAAGCCTGGTCTGTGATCCAAGGGACAGTGTCAAATGTAGTCTGATAGATTGTCCTTAAGGTTTTTTGACAGGGGAAATGTCACCTTTGTCAGCCCTTGGCAGTCTTCTGTTTTAGCTCAAATACGATTTGAAGTCTAATGCTCTACATCAAAGATTCTTGTTTTCATAATTATCATTCCTGTTGCTTTTTCTGTTGTTCTCTTTCTCTGTAGCAAAATATTTGTAGTTCTTAATTAGGTAACTATCTGCTTGCTTTTAGAACATGACAGGAGTATAGTTAGTATAACTGTTGATGTACATTTACCTACTCATAGATCTTACTTAGCAGATTCAGAGAAAGCAAAGTGTCTGAAGTGGTGTAATAGCATACTTGTTTTTAAGGGCTCTACACAATTATACAAGGTCTGTGATTCTTGGCTGCTGTGGCCATGTAACTCATTTAATGAACTAGTCAATGTAAGCTGGCTGGAATGTATGTAGGGATGTAATGAATAGAATGCTTATAAAATACATGTCTCTGCTGAGATGAAATACATGCTTATTTATTGCTTCTTCTCAAGAGCACTTACTGTAGTGATTAAGGTCTACAAAACCAATTTGTGTCTTACAGCTTGCCTTGAAGGGATCTAACTATGCTGGTCTGCTGGAGCGGCATCGCATTCATACAAAAAATGTGGAGCATCTTGTAGACAGTTTACGGTAAGAATGAGAATTTCAGCCATGGTGCAGCTCTCCATGGATTGTGTAAAATAACAAAAGGAAGGACTCACTCATACTTTTTCTGCACTTTGCAGGAATGAGAGGATAGAAGTTCGCCTTGTTAAACGTCGAGAATATAATGAAGAGACAGTTCGGTGGGCAGATGCGGTTATATCAGCAGGAGGTATGACTCTATAAAAGGAAAGCATTAATTTCAGTATACACAACATATGTAATCTTTTTTCACAGATACATTTTCCAAAAATATTTTGCAGTGTGTGAAGCGTCTGAGATACGCACATTTTGAAATCTAATTGCTTATCTAATTGTCAGGAAATGTTACAAAATGTGATGGTTGTGGCCATCTTCTCTAACTGTCAGGTGTAAAACTGTAGGACTAGGAAGTGAATCCCAGCACATCGCCACTTTGGAAATGCTTGTTTTGTGTATAACAATATAAACTGTGTGATTTACTATAGTTTTCAACCAAAGAGGTTAAAATACTTGCTGTCATCCAATCATAACCCTACTCTTTGGTTTGTGGAGACTAACATACTGCCTTTTCCTTCTCTTGGCTCTAACTGTCTTTCTTGCTTTCACACTTAATTCCAGTGGCTGGAGTATCTAGTTTGGTGGTAGAGGTAATAGTATGCAACTACTGAGCAGCCTGATAGAGCTTTTTCAATGAACCAACAGAGCAACTAACGTGTTTATTTTTAATGTTGTTTTGCAGTAGTTCATTCAGTGTTATTTTTGTGATTTGCTGCAAAAAATGCCCAGTGTGTTCCTGGTCTCTAACATAATGTTCAATCTTTTGTGGCACTGCTCTGCCTTTTTCTCCTCCTCACTGGGTCCACTTTGCCCTTAGCTACTGCTTACCATGCAGAACAGGTAGAAGAGGGTATGTGCATTCCTGAAGCATCCTAATACACTCCTGTATATTTCAAAGAACTCCTCTAAGGTGGAGATGAAAGTGCCAATGTGACTGTGGCAACATTTGTCATGGTTGTGAAAAAGCCAGTCTTAAGAGCTTGCATCTTGGTGCAAAAACTAATTCAGGTTAGTTGTCCTAGTGTTTACAGACAGGAAAGAATACCAGTATCTGCAGAAGCTAGTAACACTTAAAGATTTCTACTTCACAGTTTTATCCAAGACTTCTTTTCCAAGGGTGGCTGTTTGGGTTCAACTAAGACCTTTAAATTGTGTCTTCTAGAAGATCCGCTGAGATAGAACTAAGTCCTTGGTTTTGTGTGATTCACAGTAAAATTTGGTATTGTTTCCTGTGTTCCGTATCTTTGATTAGCAGTACTTTCTAAATTTATTAGATCTCTTACCAGCTGATAAACATACAAAAATTTCCATAGATCTCTTTTCAAACTTACTTCTGCCAAACTCAGCTGCCTGTTCATGTATAGCTGTTAAATAAGTTGTAAATTTTCCAGTCACATTTGCCATGTTGGAATTCAGTTGTCACTGTTCTACTTTAAAAAGTCCCAGTAGTTTTGTGTTCTATTTTTGTGCAGCTTACCTGATCAATTGTGGAGATAAAGGCACACAGTGGTAATACTGCAGTATACCCGAGACTATTTTGTTTGTGATCCTAGAATGTGAAGAGAAACTAACTTTAGTTTTGGTTTATCTGTAGGTGATGGTACAATGTTGTTGGCTGCCAGTAAGGTCTTTGATAAATCCAAACCCGTGATTGGTGTAAATACTGATCCTGAAAGGTAAAACCACATTTGGGAAAACAATGCTTTGTTTAATATCAGGCACAACATGCATCTATTTTATGGTGCATGGAGACATGCTTGTAGCAGTTGGCAGCGTAAATAGCTGTTCCAGTGGATTGCGGATATCAAGTGAACCTGTTGTTTTAATAGAAAAGTTTCCACAATGAGTTACCCGTCTCATCTGAGGGGAAATTACATCGTATTGAATAAGCATGACTGTGTTAAATTGCCACACTTGTTTCCCCACAGCAGTGTAACAACACTTGCACCTAGTTAACTTGTATTACTAACCAGGCATGGCAGTATAGAGCAGAGAGAGGAAAAGGGATGTAACAAACCAAACCAAATGTGTTTCCTGAGCACACAGAAACCTGGCTTCTTTATGGAGAAGGTGGAGCCTATTGGAAATCCAGCAGGGCCTCAGATTAAAAAGTTTGTTTTGGCTTCTTCTTGTAAACAATGTCATACCTCAGAGAATGCAGTCTCTTCAGCCAGTTAATGGCATTTAGTTGTCCTATTATAAACTCCACAAAAGTTGCATCCACCTAGCCTAAGATTGATTTGGGCAGGTGGATGCAGTGTATTAGCACTGCCTGGTTGGTATAATCTTCAAATGGACTCAAGTAAAACTCAGAATTTACTGAATTTCTGTCTGCTGAAATTTTCAGATTTATGTTTCTGCTTTTGACGTTGTCAGTTAATGTAACCTTAGTAGATAAGAGTGGTGGACAAAGGTTTGAATTCCTTCCATACTCTTTTCCTCGTCCAAAACTTTTCAAATGCAGTGGATACATATTTTTACAGTGTCAAGCCTGAATAGCAGGGTTCAAATAACAAGCGCCTGCAAGTTATCAAGTGTCACTCATGACAGGGGAGTAGTATTTTGTCTCCTGGCTTTGATGTGAGATTTTTTTGATCTTAGGAATGTTGCCTACCTGTCTTATGTCACTAACTTGTGTGTAAATAGAGGAAAGTTTCTTCCTAACTTGCAAGATTTATTGAGCTTGAATTCCTTGCCAGAACTATGACGATAGGAACTATATTAGTACCTACCTATTTCTGCAGGATTACTAGTTGAACAGCTATTTTTCAGTGGAAATGTGGGAGAAATATGCTGTGTCACACACATAGACCATGGGAGCTGAAAGAGGTTGTATTGTTGCTGCTGTGCTATTTCTGTGAGAATAGCATAGGTTCATAAGGGTCAAAGTGTAACTTTGCTTTATGTTGGAGAAAGAGATGTTTATTTTGTTTTTTAAAGGAACCAAACCTTAATAGATACCCTACCATTTTCATTGTCCTTTTTTGCTGCCAGATCGGAAGGTCACCTATGCTTGCCTGTGAGATACACACACTCATTTCCTGAAGCACTACAGAAGCTTTATCGTGGTGAGTTCAGGTAGGATTCACTGATCTTTGGTTTCCCAAAACACATTGCGACTGGAAAATACTTAATGATTATGAATTCTTAAGAAACAGATAATGCTTAGTAAAATCTTTATGCCTCAAATTTTAAATTCTGTATAGATGTTTACCGTGCTGAAAGAGGGTGTGTGAGTGAGATTGGAATACAAAGGATAAAATTGACTGGCAGTTACAGCAAAGACTTTTGTCATGACCTTCAGTAATTGATTTTCTTTTCTGACTTAGCAAATTCATAAATGAGGAACTGCATTCTTGTAAATGGTATATTGATTTACATCCTTTAAGACTCAAAAGCATATGTAATATAGTTATGGGCCATACTAATAGAAGCTGATGAAGCCTATATGTTTAGGAAATGGGCAGTGTTGCATTTGGGTTTTTGGTGATTAAGGTAGAGTGGCTTAAATTCTGTTGACAGATCAAGTGTAAGGCAAAGCTTTTTTTTTTGTGCTGAAGATAGCTTGATGTTTTCAGTACAAGATATTCTTAAAAGAATCGCACTGGAATTAAGAAACAACCTGAATTTTAAAGGACAGACTAAGGAAGAGGTTTTTATTAGCTATTTAAAGAGATATTGTTCTGTGGTATATTAACATTCCAGAATACTTTTATGACTGCAAACCATCAAACAGAAATAAGTAATTCATGTGGAATGTATTGCAGTTGGGTTTTGTTTATACTTCCAGCACATTTAATTTGTATCTTGAAGCGTCACTGGACTTATGCCAGGGTAAATTCTGAAATGAGGTGAATACAGTAATCAGGATCAATTTTGAGTAACTGAAGGAGTTTCAGTATGTATTGTTAAATGAAAAGGTACTTTCAATTTGCATATTCAGAGACTTAGAAAACAGAGGCTTTTAACACTATCATGCTAAGCTGCATAGGTAAAGCTGGTCCAGGATCTCCCTGGTTATTTTTCCAGAATAACAGGAACTGATGTTTTTGAGCAGGGACCTGACTGTTTCACTTGGCAGTTCTCAGATTTATATGGCCCTAAGGAAACTTTAACATACATGGGTAACTGGATTAGCCCATCTGGAAGAGCTTCTGATGGCTCAAGAGTTATGTAAGGGCAGTGAGATAGCAGAGACTGGAAAAGGGAATTGTCTTTTCATCTTATCCTTGAGGTGTCAGTGCAACAATATGTGTAAGCAGTTACCTTGTAGTCGCATGAAACAGCCAACATTGCTGAGTTACAGATTTATAAAGGACAAGCTATGTTGGTTTTGTTTCGAGGGTCAGTGGTGTAACAGGATCTCAGAGTATGGGTATTATAGGAGTCCTATTTTCTAATTTTATAAGGGTTTTGTCATGTTCTAGTATGAGTATTGTAAGGAGGCTAGCATAATGATACTCATCACATGCTGTCTGCCTGAATTTCTAAAAGCATACTTTGAATCTAAGGGCAGATAGGTAGTTATACTAAGGATGTGTTGAATAAGGCAATACCAGGATGGCAATGAGGAAAAATGAGTAATCTAGTCATATAAAGCACAAGTGTTTCTTGTTGTAATTTCAGGAAACTTGTATACTGTCATCCAGCTGTCAACGTGTGAACTGGGAAAAGATGTGCTCATAACACTTCCTTGTGATTTGCTTTCTTAATCAAAACTAGTGTTCTATTTTGTTTTATATAATCTCTTAAATTGTCAGAGGAAAAAATTAATTGATCCCTCCTCTAGAAGAAATAGGAAATCTGAATTGTTGTATGTTAAGGAAGAATATTTTTTATATCATTCTCTTTCTTAATTTGAATTCTTCATAAGTTCCAAGGCTAGGAGAGAGTCTTAAAATATGAGGATACTTGTGGCCCTTACGTGTGAAGGGGTGGTTAGAGTTGTTTTTCTGGATATCTACAAAAACAAACAGAAGAAGGTAAAAATACACCATTTATTGCTGCATAAATTTCTGAGAGTTTGTTGTTCTCAAAATCACTGCATCAGTCATGAACTCATAAATTAGGATCACATGTCTAAAAAGGTGAGCTCTTATGTATAATGTTTGAAGACTACTTTTGGCCAGTGTGCTTTTATTTTACACACGCAAAAACATGAGCTAGCAAATTGGTAAGTGTAGCATATTTACATTTTAGTATGAGTAATTTCCTGAATCTAGAAACTGTAGTGGAATCTATAGAACTTGAAATATGACTTTGAGTATATTTAACTTAAAGATGCTCTGCTCTGAGAGTGAAGACTCTGGTCCTAGTGTTGTAATAAATATTTCATCTACTGACACCAATTTCTTCTCCTCTCTAAGGTGGCAATGGCGGCAAAGAATCCGACTGTATCTTGAAGGAACTGGTATTAACCCAGTCCCTGTAGATTTACATGAACAACAGCTAAGCCAAGAGCAACACAGCAGGGCTCACATAAATGAAAGATTCCAGGATCAAAGTAGGTTAAAATCTGACAAGGATATAATAATTTTGCTATGATAACTTGGAATGGGAGATAAGTATTTGTAAGAGTTGAAATATTTGAAGTCTCATTGCTGTATTCGAGAAACAGAGACAGCTGTCATTAGCTGAAGATCCAGATTAAGGATTTTTAGAAGGGAGTATTTTTGTTTCTATAAGTTTATTCTGGGCTAAACTCTTAGAACCAGTTTTCAGTCTTAATAGTTAATTTAGAGATGTTTTTATGTAATATTATCTGCTGGCAGAATACCTGAGGATTTGTTTTTAAATGCTGTCTCTTGGGGTTACTGTAGACACCACATGAACATTTTACCATGGATTTAGTTGCTCCACACTTAAAGTGTGTTAGTGTACCTGCACGCATGCTCTTAACTTGTGCTACATTTGATAGGCTACTTTGCAATTGAAAAAGCTGGTCACAGACTGTCAGAAAGCAAATGAGAAATTAGAAGTTATAGTTAGAAGTGAGAATTTCTCCCTGGGTAAATCTTCCGTCATCAGACACCTTTGACAGTTTTCTTTGTCATGGATTGAGGATGCATGATTCTATCCTTAACCTGTGTCTAGCACTTTCTCACTGAGAGGTCTTTTGTCAACATGAACAATTTGTTAATTCCCCTTAATTACCCTGTGGTATAAAGTCTGATTCCTTGAACTTTATCAGAAACGTCTGTTAAGTTACTGTCAGTGAATTTAACAAGGCTAAGTTACTGGCAGAAGGCTTCAGTCTGTCTGGTTACTCTGAGTTTTCAAGGAAAGTAATGTCAGGACACAAGTATTGTCACCTTATTGACCTTGGTTTGAATATCTGTAGTCTCCAGTAAAGGACAAGGACTGGCTGCAGACTAGATCGGTGAAAAATTGTGTCCTTGAAAAAGATGGAAGACTATGTCTGGAGTGCAAACAAAGGCAGCAGAATGTGTCCTTCAGTGAGTTGTGAATTGGTTTTGAATATTTGGGGTTTAGAGCCATGATTCAAAACTGTTAATATTTTATATCTGCAGGATCCGACATTTCTGGTCCACATCTTTTACCAGTGAGAGCCCTCAACGAAGTCTTCATTGGGGAATCTCTTTCATCCAGGTATGTTTAATTATTTGTTGTTGCAGTAAGGCACAGTTGACTTAATTTATTTTTATGACATAGCAATGAACAATCGATCATGTCTTTTCTGTCAAATTTCAGTTCTAGTCCATAAATGTATTGTTGGTGATTACAAAGTGTATTTTCAGAGATGTAAGTGCAGTGATGTTAATTTGTGGTTTTCTACCTTGCTGTCTGGCCATTCTATCATCTTTCCTTATTCCTGGCTATTTGCTTCATTGGTTTACTCCTTTCCTGCTTTGTTCTTAGGAAACGAAATACTTTCACTTACTATCTTTACAGTGGATTGGAGATTTAGTTGTCTGTGCTTAAACTGCCTCATGCATCTCCTGTTAAGTATCTTTTCATAAGCTTTTAGCCTGACCAAGCAGAAATAGTTTTTAATATGACCAGGTACTGTTTTCCCTGCCTCTCTGTCATTAGAGCAAAGGCATCAGCCTGCTTTTGTGAGAAGCTCTGTTATTGTGGGAAAATACTTTTTTTGTTGTTTTATGAAGTTAGTTTGAATCAAATCCTGGTACTGCATTATCCAGCATACCTTTGGCTGTCCTTTCTGTCCTGAAGATCAGTGTATTTCTGCCAGTAACAGGAAAGCTGTGAACAATATGGCTCTGTAGGAAAGGAGTTAAAACATGATCCTTGGTCAGGATTTGACCAAATTTACTTGTATCTTCTATCTCTGTCCCCTTTATTCTGCATCTTTAAAATCCAAACCAACCTAAGTTGTTTAGAGTAACATTTTGTTGTTTGTGCAGTGCCTGGGACACTTTGATTGCTGCTGGAAACAATATAAATGTTCCATGAGTGCTTTATCTTCCAGCTGGACTGCAGCCTCAGATGAGCAGAAGGAATTAGTCTCAGAGATAGAAACTTTGCTCTCTATTAAGTTAAACCTAATTTTATCAAGATTTTTAAAGGTTTCCTTAACACACAGTGAAAGGAACACAAAGCTGCTTCCCAATACTTTCTAATAGCCCTCTTCTGAGTGTCAAAGATACATTATGTTCTTTGGTTCCAGTATATTTAAGAAGCATTTAAGAGCACAGTGCGTGTAGGAACAAACCTCAGTAAGAGGACCTTGCACTTGAAGAGTAAATAATGATGTCACTCAGATGACTTTTCTGTAAAGCATGAGTCTGCTATATATTAAGACAAAATAACTGTAGGTGCTTCTTCCAAGGTCTTACTCTGCATGTTAGTTAAGAAAACAAGGAAACTGAAGGAAATGGAGAGGGAAAAAAAACAAACTGAAGTTTCATACCCAGGTTGCAAAAATTATCTTAAACTGACTTAAGCTGTGCACCTGCATTCGTAATTTGCTTCCAGTTCTTTCATCTTCCCATGTTCTCAAGAGCAAGTATACAAAATCTCCTTGGTTACTAAGAATCTAAACTGTGACACCAAATATTCAAGAAGTGTATTTCCTAGTTGATCCGGACTTAAATATTCATTATATAAAACAGCTCAGTAATGCTCTTCTACTAAGGTGAAACTCAAACATACTGAACACAGGGAATATAGTGTTTTTCTAAGATGGTATCTTAATCTGAAGACTACATCATACTGTTTGAATTAGGGACTTATGAACATCAACAGCTTTAGTTCGTAAATATACTCCTGGATGTTCTGAAGTGTTCAGAGACTGGTCTCTCTATGCCTAACATTAGAAATCTGCTGATAATATAAGTAATACCTTGCAGAATTATGATTACGCCCCAAGACTTACTACATCTGAGTTTTATGAAGAATTTGCCCTGGAGAGAAATATAAGCCTTCCGACTGTTGTAAAACTAAAACTGTTCATCACTGTAAAACATCACAGTGGATTTTTAATTACTAAAGCAATCAAGGATTCAGCTTGAAACCATTTTATTACTTGCTGATGATGGAGTACCTTACTTCTTAGTGTTCCCTCGTATAATTTTATGAGACCAAATCACAGCATAAACACAGGTTTTCAGTAGTTCAACAATTACACAAGGAAGTTAATGTATTTATAGTCTCATCTGTAAGTCCAGCAAACCCTGCTGGACTTGAAGCTGCTGGAATGAAGCTATTCCCTAATGAACCACAGAGGTTTTTGTGTATAATTTAATAGGAAGAGTGGCTGTAGAAAAACTGCCACTGTTCATGCTGAAAATCACTTTTGTCCATTATAAAAATGCTGTAAAACAGTGAATCAAAAGTGGCTGCCAAATGGGAAGCACTGCAAAGACTATGAAATTGTCCAGATTTGAAACTAGCTGCTCTAAATTTTTATGTCCCTGATAAGGCTGTGTGTTCTGTCTTATTCAGGGAGAACTTTAAATCCTGCAAACCCAGTTTTAAATTCTCGCTTCATAGGGCCTCCTATTATGAGATATCAGTTGATGATGGTCCCTGGGAAAAACAGAAGAGTTCGGGACTTAATGTGTGTACTGGAACAGGATCGAAAGCATGGTAAGTACATGTTGCTGCTTTGATATAAAACTTCACTTCAGATAAGCTAGATGGACCTATTTTCTTGAAGCATTTTGTCCATTCTGAGACTCTCCTGAGCTATGACTAAGTTAGTGCTTATATTCTAATATTCTCACTGCTGGTATGGTCCAAAGCTGTTTCTGGGGTATGAAAAGAGCAGAGCACCCCTCATTTGTGTGTATGGGAAGAGTTGAAAGGGTGAGCAGCTGAGGCATTGAGATAGAAGTTTACCTTAGGTGTAATTTTGGTGGAAGAGGTTGCATGCCTCTGAGATGAATGATTGGGGTGGCAAGGGAAAGAGATTCTGCTCATCCTTGCAGAGCATATTGGAGGGATCTCTGGACTGCTCTTGTTGGCTAAAATTAAAATGCTTAGATGAAGTAGTATGCAAAACTTCTAAAAACCTAACCTCTAACAAGAATAGGAAAAAGTGTACTTGGAAACAGATTTAAGTGTTCTCTGGCACATTTGCTGTCAATTCTCCTTCCAAGCCTCTTGCCTGTTTGAAATTTAATTAAAATGGCACAGTCTCTTTGCCAGAGTTTTCCCCTTAAACAAAGACAGCATATCTAAGCAGATCTGTGCTAGCTTAATCAGAGGGCTAAATTAAACAAGCTACGGTACTGCTTTTAAGTCTAAATCAATTTAGTTTTGAGATTTCAGAGACCTGTACAGTGAGAGCCTCTTTCATTTGGAAGTCTGACTGTGCTTGTAGTTTAAAGTTGTACAACAAATCTTGGATTTATGTGGCAGGCTAAGATGAGCTAAAACTGAAGCTTTTAATGAAATTCAAAAATGAATAGTCATGTTGTAACCATGGTTACTGGGTTTTACTCTTCATTGTAATTCAGAATTTTGTATTCAGTCAGCATAACATAGTCCTGGAGGCTGCCAAGGATGAAATTGGCACACTGCTAGAGTAACTTTCCTAGTGTTCAGTACCTTGGGACTGTATGATCTTAGTTCAATGCTGCTCTGGATTTCATCTGCTCATATACTCCCTACTGAGCAATGCCAGAACCAGGGACCAAACTCCAGGGTTGCCCATCTCCGCTGCTGTAATCAGTGTATACTGATGGATGTCTCTAAACTGCGCCAAGCCTCAGTGGAGTGATCTTCCTTAGCCAGCGTTTTAAGGGGTCTCCTGGGATTTCAGGCTTCAGACTGAAATGCATCTAAATATCCAAGTGCTTCCTTCAGCTGCCAAAACTTGCATAAAAGGATATCTAGTTGAGAGAGAGAACAGTGTCAAACTGCATCTCAGTTTCTTGCTAGCATCTGCTCAGGCTTGCAGGTAGGCAGTAAGTGTAAGAGAAGGAGTCTCGGACAACCACCCTCAGCAGTTCTGTAGTCTGTTAGATATACAGTGGTTGTCTGTTGCAGTCTGAAGTGGTTTGGTGCCATGACAGAAGTATTTTTAACCTGTATTGAGACCTGGGCACCTGAGATGTGCACAGTAATGCTATACAGAAGCTGTGATTACCTAATCCCAGTGGAGCTTGGGCACAGGACTTTTGTTGGAATTCAGACTTAGTCCAGACTGAGGTTTTATGCTGACTTGCTTTGCATCCAAATGTGGCAAATGCAAAAATGCCTGATCTGACAGTTCCTTTTTTCTATACACAGATTCTTGTGAGATTAAAGCCCACACCTTAGGATATAGAAAAAGAGGCATAATATTTGTAAAGAAGTGTTGGGTCCCATAAATAAGAACTAACAAAAGGTATTAATCAGCAAGAGGTGAATAGAAGGGATAAGAACACACAAAGTCTGTAAAACTGTCATGCAGTGTGTTTTTTAATGGAGACTTAAATCAGCAATTATTTGGGTTTTAAGGCAGGAGGATTATTGGTAAGGATACTACATCCTGTGTGTCATGCTGCTCTTTCCTGAAGAATTACCTAAAGGTTTATTAAGGTTTACAAAGCCACAGGTAGATGTAAAACCAAGAGTCCATTTAAAGGTTTTGTTTTATTTTATTTTATTTCTTTCTTCCTGATGTTGAACATAGTTCTTTATGCAAGATTTTTTGTTTTGGTTTTCTCCCCAGTTTTACTGTTTAGTAAACAAGACGTGTGATTCTCTGTCTAGGTCCTATAATATTAACAAGATAGCACAACAAGCTGTTGAAGAGATCCTTAATATCGGTGAGTGAACAGTATGGCATTACTCGCCAAGCTTATATAAACACGTATCTAATTGGGTCTCTTTCTTTTGGCTTAACAGCAAAAAAGCAAGGAAGTTTGAATATGCCATTGAACACAGAACTGGTACAGAAAGGTTAGTGAAAAAAAGATTTCTTTAAGGTATTTTAACTTTGACCAGTTAATTTTGTTTGTACTCTTAATACTGCTTTCAGTATTTAGTACTCTTGCAATATTAGTATTTCTTGCAAACATTATTTAGGCACATTTGGTGAAAAATGTCTGACTCGATATGAAAGCACTTACTTAGACTTTCATATATATTGATCTTCAGGAGAATTTCTGTTCTAAGATTAGAGACACATATTTAATCACCTGAAGAGAGCTGTTGAGTGTCATGCAATAGAATTAAAAAGAATTTTCTGAAAAATTAGTTTTTAATTTGCAGGTGAAGGCTATTAAACATATGTTGAGACTCAGTATTCCATCTTGTAAGGGAAGCTGCTCTTTCCTGGAGGATTGTGTATCTCTGAGAATAACTGATATTTTCAGGAAAAACTAATGCATGATTTCTCCGTTTACAGTAACAAATGATTACAATGAGTCCTTGGTCTACAGTCCAGAAGAACCAAAGATGTTTTTCAGTGTTCGAGAACCTATTGTAAACAGAGTTTTCTCAAGTAGCCGGCAGCGTGGCTTCTCTTCAAAGTAAGTGTTGGCTGTAGCAGTCACTGAAAAGGCTTCATTCTGTGTATTTGCCAAAGTAGGAGTAACCTGGGAGTTTCCCTTGAAGTGTTTCAACATCCAATTTGTGTTGTGTTTTGATTGCCTTGAGTATTGTTCTTAAAACAACAGGAAGAAAATGTTGGCAGGTTATGTTATGCCTTTTTAATGTTCAATCCATTCATAATCTTACAGAATAGAAGAATCTCACTGTGCCCACTTTTGGGTGAGTGCCATTTCCCTCAGTACGTCATGCAGGCATTGACAAGCTGGAGTGAATTCAGGAAAGGGCCAGTGAAATGATGAGGGGCCAAAACACATGATCTATAAAGGAGAGGCCTGGATGAGAACACACTAAGCAGAATGGATCCAGTTGCTATCTTCAGCTACCAGTTGATGGTTACAGAGGAGTCAGAGTTAAACTCTTTTCAGAGCAAAATAGGAGGCAACAGCCATGATTTCACAGGATGAAATATTCTGACTTAGAAAAAAGGAAAAATATGTCAGAGTGAGAATTGTCAAGCAGTGGAACAAGTTGCCCAAAGATTGTGCTATCACCGTCCTTGGAGATACTCAAAACTTGCTTTGGCAAGGCCCTAAGCCATCTAGTCTGCCTTTGAAGTAAGGGCTGCTTTAAGTGGAAAGAGGGACTGTATGCCCTTCCAAACTAAATTATTTGTCATTTTAGCTTATGTGTGAATACCTGTGAGGCACATCTTCCCATTTTTTCCTTTTTTAAATAGAATTTGCTGCCTGTTATAGTTGATCGTTAGCTCTTGATACTACACATCTCCCCATTGCTGTTCTGTATCTTTTTTGGCATAGTAGATGCCCAGAGTGAAATGGACGAGTGGAACATGCCTCCAAGTTCTTCTGCAGTGTCCAGACTAGGCTGTGTTTTAGTGATGCACATGCCAATTAAGCTTTGACACTGTGGCTGTGCTTCCAAGTTTTTCATATTTGTGAAAGAGGTGTCTTCCTGAAAATTTAAGTTACTGGCTAACTGTTGGTTAAATCTGGGAGATGACAACATTGTCTAGACCAAGGCCCAAGTCAAAAACAGTCAAGCACATCCACGTAATAAGATTGCGCTCTTGCAGCTACTCTGGCATAATGACTATTGGTTCCTACCTAGCAAATTTGGAGAACTTTTTACTTACTTGCTTTCTACATATATGAAAGGACAAATTACAAAGGTTAATTTTCCTTTTAAATGTAAGAGGAAGATGCTGAGTAGCTTTATTCTGTCTTGTCCAACTCTGAAAATGCTGTCTTATAATCAATTAGCCTGAAGATATAGTAGTCAAACTCTAATATTGACAGTAAAATGCTGTTTATGGTGTTGCCTATATATGATGTTGCCTGCCAAGCATTCTGACTTTCAACTTTGTGTTTGAAATTACTTTCCCTTGTCTCTGGGAATGATTCATGTAACAAAATTAGACCATATTAATATCCAAAATTATTTGAATCTTAAGCATTGAAACTGCATGTTCTGCTTCAATTTATGGTTCTAATGTTGAAACTTTCCTGTAGAAGATTAAGTAAACAACTATTAAATGGCATCATCAGTAGCTTTATTTAAAACATACACCTAAACTACAGCTTTCACAATATCAAGTGTTACGTTACAGGCTGTCCTGAGCCTCTTGGAGCAATAGTCTCCATTTGAACAAGTCCTGCAGTCCTCTCTGGACTCTTTGCTAAGTCTGCACAAAGTATTGATAGGCTGGGGGATTGTGGTGCTAGTACCATGATAAATTCTTCTCTTAAGTATCCTCCTATATGGTTACGCGTTCACTGACCCACGCTTATCCAAAAATCAGTTTTACTGTTCAGGTAAGTGCTTCTGTGAAATACTTAATTTATTTTTTTAAGCTATTTTGTGAGTACTTATTTTTTGTGTTTTTGCAGGGTCTGTGTCCGTTCCCGCTGTTGGGATGCATGTATGGTTATAGATGGAGGAACATCTTTTGAGTTCAATGATGGGGCGATAGCTTCAATAGTGATTGATACAGAGGATGCACTGTGCACTGTTCTGCTGGAAGAATGAAGGACACTAGTGTCTTCTGCTGAAACAACTTTGCATCCAGAGAGGGAACTCCTGGGGATAGACAGCACATCATAATGCTGCATTATGTTGGAAGTTGACCTTTCTGGATGCAAGAGTATTTGGAGGAAGTTTGAGATGCTTTTCATTCCTTTGGGTTAGGGAAACATTAGCCTGATTTTTAACTGTTTTTGCATCTGGTGTGAAAGAAATGTATCTGAAGTCACACCACTAACCTCAGTGAAAACTGACATTGTCACTTGTAAGGCAAACATGAAAGAATATACTTTTAAACACAGGTAGATGGGTTCAGGTATTAAGTCAGTAGCATTAAGTATCCAGATGTACATTTTTCTAGTAACAGTCAGGGACTGATGAAACTAAACCCCTTCATATATATACTTTTATAGAAAAGTTGACTGTCAATCTAGCAATTTGATGCAAGGACATATAGATTTTGGTAAATCCTGATGTTGATGTAATAGAAATGGAAATACAGACTTTTTGTATGCTTTTCAAAAATTTTACAACTTTGTAGTTTCTTACAATTTGTGACTTTTTTTTTTTTCTCTTCCAATATTTTTTTCTACTTTGTAGATTCACATCAGAAGTAAAAATCAGGTTTAATCACATCTTGAATAAGGTAGCTCTTTTGTTTTTGGCTAGAGTTGGAACTGAAACCTAAGGGCTTTATTAAGCCCTTTCATAAAAATACATAAAATATAAGAAACATTTGAAGTAAGATATACTCCTTCACTGAATGGATTAGTTGGCTAGTGGGTGTTCACAGTGTGTTCAGTAGTGTATGTAGGTGGCTATAATTAAAAAAGATATTTGGCCTTAGTAAGTTGAATGGTTCGGAATTGAAGAAAAATGAGATGTGCTGGGTGCTAGTAGTTGGAACACAAGCTCATAACTATATATACCTGGTTTTCCAGATATGGGTTTTTAAATTCCCCAAAAAGTTTAAATTTCCAGTCCTATGTGGAATTTTACTGACACTTAATTGGCAACAAGTTAATTTCAATTTTATATGCCTCTGATCATGAGATGGGTAAGCAGGTTGGCAATAGTAAAAAAGCTCAAATAGACGAGGAAGTCACTTTAGATAATGTTTTAGACAAACTGTGAACTGTGACTGCCTTTGAAAGTCTGTGCTGATAATTGCATAGATAAGAGGGCAGAATTTGATGAAGATTCTTATACAGGAACTCTTCTGCTACATGACTTGAAACAAGTTTACTTGTCCTGTCTACTACCAATCTAGTCCCAAAAGTGAGTTTTCTGACTACTTTTGAATGAAGAGACTTCTGTAACAGATGTTCTCAGGGCTAATGGAAATGTTCTCCAGTGTGGCCAGTATTTATTGCCGAACAAAATGTAAACTGATCTCTATAGGTAAAGAAATTGGATAAACTGTTTTTTTCCTTCTACTGTTTTAAGCATTTGTATTCACTCTAAACCAGAATTTAAAGAAAATTGATTTGACCAGACCATTCAATTTTAGGAAAATGTGATATTGATGGAGCTTTTTGAGTAAGCTGTCACTGTTTATGTATGTTTCACCTTTTAAGTGTGCTACAGATTGAGTTATTTACACTCTCTGCTTGAGTTATCACAATTGCAGACCAGAAGGGGAAAATCAAAGTAGCCAAATAACTCTTTCATAACTTTGTAAGTTCAGGAACTATCAGAATAAAGCTGTTAATGCCTCAAATTATTTGCAAAACTGGTCTAAATGTAAAGATGCAAAAGACTAATCTTTTAGAAAGTTGTCTACACAGAGACTGGGGTGTGTCAGTTATTCCTAATCCATCTGTAACCATTTCAGGATGGTTTATGTGCCTCTGTCTCATACACTAGTCAATATACTGTTAAGATTCAACACCCCCCTCCAATGCCATTGTGTTGAAAGTCATAAATAAATGATTTTTATGACCAACTTATGACTTTCTAGGACTTTACCACTGTGTTAGATCAGAGGTTTAGGTATTGAAAGTGTACTAAAATACCTGCATAGACAAATTCTTGGCAGAGACCTTGTTTAGAGACATTTGTGTGCTTTAATGTATTAATAGAGACTGATTAGTCTGATCAAGGTGTGTATGTTCAGACTTAATGATGCCTGTCATTCCTTGTTACGAACGCTGAGACTAAAAGACAATGTTTTCAGACCCTGAAGACTCAAAGTATGATCTGTTTAGAGCTTAGGAAGAGATTTCAGAGTCAGATTCCTAATTTACGTAGCAAAATGCAAAGCTGACCTACTCATGAGTGGCCTCTACTGGTTTTGGCTATGTTTAATTGCACTTCTGTTAAAGCATTTACTGGTGAATGCTTGATTTAAGTAACCACGATGATTCAGAGATCTATAATAGATAAACAGTAAGCAGCTACCTTTTTTATTAAAGAATTGTAGAATCCTTTTTAAGGTTCCTTTATTACAAAGGATTTGCAGTACAGACACCTTACCTGGTAGACAGTATTCTGTGACAGGACTGAGTATTGGTTTAACACTGATTTAATCTGGCTGGACTGGCAGTGAATTCTACACCTTTTCTACCTGCAGAATCAGATACATGGTCTTTTCATTTAATGCCAGTCCACAATGTGTTCTGCTAAACTAGACCTGTCATTCTTTGCTTTTTTTTTTTAAAAAGTGGTGTATGCATTATGTAATAAAAGAATAAAAACATCATAGATGCAAGAAGTTGTCCTGTGCTTTATTTCAACTTTCAAAAGCATTTCAGGTGTTAAGCTTCTTTTCATTTATTGTGCAGTTGTAAATAACAGCTTTATTGTGCGGTTGTAAATAACAGCTGTAGTAAAACACAAACATCACTGTAGCAGCTTCTGGTAGGCATTGCTTAGAGCTACCGCATAACTTTTTTCACTTTGGAAAAGGGCAGTGGTGTACCTCACCCAGACAGCTTCCATTGCATGTTTGTTACAACTGCCATCATAACCCATAGCCTTGCAATAGAAATGTTTTGTTCTCTTTCACCACTGAACCTCATACTCAAAATAACCAGCAAGTTCCTTCTAAAGGCCATACTACTGCCTCAACTCTGTACAGGGTTTTAAAGCACAGCCTATTAAATTCAAAATACACTGGTGATAATGCCCTGTCCTCTAAACCATGATTTTCCCTAAAAATTTCCATTTTTAACCCATGACAAAGTTGGTGGAAAGTTATGGATGGAAAAACATTTTCCTTCACTTTGTACAAGGTATCAATTCTTCAGATCTTTATTAAATGCAAAACAAGTTGTATGGAGTTACATGATACATAGGAAGAAGAATTTACACTAGTGCTGAGCTGCAGAGATTTACTTTTGAAGTAATTTAAGGCACAAACTGAAGGCAAACTGAAGCAACACAGTATCCAATATCCAACCTCCCATTGCTTCTCCACTCCAGTTTTCACAAGGCATATTGTCCATTAACTCCTTTGTGAGGGACACAAGCCCAGTAGTGAGTTAAACAACAACATGGTCTAGTGTAAAGCTCATGGCAGGAGTGTTGGATCTATGTAATTTTAAGGTGCCTTCCAGATCTAACCCTTCTGTGATTCTAAGGGTCACCAACACAGTTAAGACTTTGTAAAAACCAAACCACAAGATAATGATGTATTTGCTGTACTATAGAAAGTAAAGTTAATTTCTAGTACTTGTACAATCTTTCCACAGTAATGAATCTGTTCTGTACTACCAGGTATTTATTCCCAAGCACATCTCTTCAGATTGAGATGGGAAACACTATAAACTATGCAGCAACCCCACAGTAATGCTGTAGGCTCATTTTAAATATCCATGAATAAATACCATCTGCTTGATTGCTGCATTCACAGAAACAACAGCAGCATCTTCATGTCCTACACAGGGTGCAAGTTTTACCCCAGGACTTCTCAACTAACACTTATATTTGCTGGAACATTCCATGCTTATACAAAAGGACCATCATAATAGACATAGACAAAAGTTCATGATCATATTCTTAGTTTGGTTTTGGACAATTACTCATCTTTTCACAGGACTTCAAAAAAAAAAACCAAACCAACAAAACCCAACACTAGCCCATACTGATTAGTGTTACAGATACAAGAGAAGTGATACTACAGACATAAGCTATTACCAGAAGAAAAGTAATAAATTGATGTTTCTTAGTATCACCAAAGCATCTACCCCTTTCAGCATTCGCTGCAGTCTGAGGTTTTGGTCCAAGATCTATAATCATTTGAGTCTTCCTCCTGCAAAATTCCTGACAGTTTATGAGTTGCAGTTGAAAGATCTTATTCTTTAAAAGAAGCAAGAGAATATTTTTTACGAGTTTTTATCAAGCTCATAGAAGTTTGATCAAGGTCACAGAAGCTTCAATATTGCAGAACCTTACTGTATCAGAAAACAGCAACACACCATGAAAGAATTGATAACCAGCATCTACATTTACAGATGCTTGTTCTGAATGGGTTTTTCAAAGTGTATTTTGCTAATAAGAATATTAAGACAGGTATTATCTTTATGCTCTGCTCAAGAAAAATTTCACTGGCCCCTTTATATTACTTTTTCTCTTCTGCATTATTTAGCTGCTTTCCTGTCAACATCTCCTTTCTCAACATCTATTTTCTGTTTTCAGGCTTGGTAAATTCAAATTCAGGACTCTGTCTCTCACAAACAGTGGGCAGCTTCTCATCTTACTACATATCTTGTTCAACTGAGCATTTAAATGGGTTTAACCCCATAATTCACTTTGAGGTCCACAAACTCAGACAAAGACAATTCCTTAGTAAGCCATATTAAAACATCTAGCACCCCTACAAGCCATTTCAAGAGCTGTAGAACTGGTAGAGTCAACCAGAAGCACCTTTAGAACACCACAAAGCACCAAAAGCTGCATCAGAACATGCAACAGTCGCTAGAGGCTGGCACTGTTTGATTACAACAGCTGTTTCACAGTACTTCTGAAAAAATATCCCCAGTTACAGAAAAAAAGAAGTCCACAATCGCTCCCACATTATCAGGTTTCTAAAGGCTGTCAGTAAAAAAATACTGTGAGAATATTTATGAAACTACATTAAGGCACAAGATCAAGTCAGAATGCGTTTTACAATAACAATACTATCACTGAAAGTGCTCCAGCATTCTGGTTCTTAAGGAGCTTCACTACACACAGTATGTTTATTGCATCCAGGGCATTGTACATGATCATAAGCCACTAAAATTTCTCAGTGCCAATTTGCATTTGATGCCCCAAATCTCATGGCTCCTTTTCCTACCAACAGTTGGCCTTGCGATACTTGTAAAGTATGAACAATTGATCTCTACGTCAGGAAGAGATTCCTTGAGGACGTCTAGGGAGCCATCAGTCACGATTCCAAATACCTGAAGAGTCTTTAATGTTGGAATTCCACCAAGTTCCCTAGAAAAGAGGGAAAAAAAATACAACACAACCATAAAATTAATAATGAACCTGATTTTTTCCAGTTTGTACCCAAACTAGATAACTGTATTTCTGCATTTTTTTTAGAATTATGGTAACTACTTAAGTTAAATTCCTTTTCCTACTTTTTAAAAGCACATGTTTAATTGGAACTAGTTCTCTGCATTGATAATTCTGGAAATGGCCCGAATAAATTGCTTCTTGCTGCTCTCTCTCTCTCTCTCTCACATAGAGTGAAAATGAACTGTTTCCTCCCTTTTAACTTCCCTGAACTTTAGAACAAGTGTAAGGAATTGCCCCAGATAAAATTTCACAATGCGGCTCAGAGGACACAATCCCCTATGTACTATCAGTTTCCAATCTGTTGTCATGTTTTGGTGACTAGCCAGCCCTGGCTTCTTGATTGCCCAGTCATCATGTGAACTGTGTATCTATAAGCAAGTACTGGACAAAACTGAAAAGCAGAGACACACAAGCTATCACCATGACAGCACGCACTCTACAGAAAAGGTTCTTCAGCTTCCCATTTTGATAGCCCTGTTCCTCTCACAATCTTTTTCTTGTTGATCATTTCCTTAGGATTGACATCCCTCCTGAAAGGATTGAGATAGATAGCTGCTATACTAATAAAAGGCAAAAAAAAAAAAAACAAACCACAAAACAAACCACCTCACAAGCAAGTAAATTTAAGCTGTGTTTCAGTTGCAGCCAATAACCGATACAGGCACAGAATAGGCAAAGGAATGTAAACAGGTTGTCTAGTCAGCAAGTACTGTCAACAACTTTTCCAAAGAACTATACTCTCCTTGCTGTGCACCTGAAAGCCTAATACTGACACCAATACTGGTCACTGGCAGGACTAGTACCTGTAGCTGTACCTCATGGTAATGAGTACCACTAGTTCAATGCCATGAAGGGAAGACATGATGCATGCACTGAACTGCAAGTTTTGTGAGTACACATCACAGAAAGATTATTGCAGATGCTTTTGGTTCTAGCCTGGACTCTCAAAGGTATGTGCTGTAGCAGTCAGGTTATTTTATCTCAGCTCTTTATTCCCAGTTCCTCACACCAGTAAGTTTTTCAAAACAGTGCTTGCAATTCTAAGCCTAAAATAAAGCAAGTTTAAATTAACTTATACTCTGAGAAGTAAATCAAAGCCATTTAGAGATTACTTACGCTAAGTCAGCAGGGGATATCTGATAACATCGGCTAAGACACAGATGCTGTAGATAGCTGAGTTTATGGAAATACTTGAAACACTCAGGGTTTAACATCACGCTGTCACTGTACACAAGAGCACATGAAAGTTTAAGTTTAAAGGAGCAGTAAATCTGCCATTTCAAAAATTCAGGCTAAGAAACTTAATGAATATAAAATTCTTTGTCTACCACTGAAGTATTTTTTTTGTTCAAGATGAATAACCCATATCTAGTGTGTGTGTTGTGGGGGAGTGATTCAATCTTCACTGAAGCAGAAGTTTCTCTGCAGGCAGATATTCAGCAGCAGAACTCATGCCATAAAAAGGCATAAAAATCACATACCAAGATTTCAAGATACTTTAACTGACTAGGTCAAAATCAAAATACACCTTCCTCCCCCCCCCCCGCCCCTGTTCTATGGCCAAGAAACAAATTTATATTAGAATTGAACTAAACCCTCTCTACGATGCTAGACTCATAAACTGCATGCACCTAAATGCTTTCTTCCACTCTACCTACTGGCTACAATGACTTACTAGTTTACAAATCCTGTATATAACATTTATGTTGAGGTAAGAAAGAAACGTTCAAGTGAGTTACCTGCTCCAGATTAGGCCATGCCAGAAAACAAATCTTTTGTAGGTTTAGCATAGAAAGTACTTACTGGTTGTGCAATCCTACACAATCATGCATTATTGCTACACAATTACTGCACTACAATAGAATCGGCAATTCCCTGAACCATACAATTTAAGGACAAGCTGCAAAGGCCTTCTTACCTTAGATCTAAATGGACAAGTAAAGGACATCTTTCCACCAGTGTCTGAACATCTGAAAACAGGACACTCAGAGTCAGTCCATTTTTCACTAACACGATGAATGTGCTTTATACACCCTGCTCACTTCCACAAATGTTCATTTATACCTTCTCTTACTGGAGCTCCACGGCTGAAACACAACTTTTTGTTAAAAAGATATGCACTTAAGACTTACAGCATCCAGTCTGCCTATCAAGATACCTTACAGGCATTTTTTTTAAATCCTCGGAAAAACTGACCCATCAAGTCAGAAGAAAACTCCTAAAAGCCACTTGTGCCAGCAACTTAGCAAGAGAATAATTCAAATGATAGTGCTCTCGAAATTTACCAAGACATAGTAATGGTGAGATGCCCGAAATTCTTGCATATAGAAAAAAATTTCTGCCTGTGTTTACCTACCTGTGCGTCAGCCAATGTCCTATTGCCACATTTGCGCATTGAGAAAGTTAATTTCTTTTTATCACCTAACCCATTTCACCTTTTACCTATACTTTTGTTGCGCTCTCTCCCAAGATCTAGATTTCTCTGTATTTTATACAACGCTGCAAACTTACCCAACTTTTCCTCTTAGAACTATTATCAAGTAAATAGTTAATATTGATTACCGAGATTATTTGCCTTCTAAATTAGCTGGTAGGCCATCATATCAGTAGTAACTATGACTGCTCCCTTTTGGAAGATGTCTTCAGCAGCCACAACAGCAGAATTCTTAAGAAGACTCCAAGTACCTTATCTGGAAAGCTAATTCGCAGTGGAGCATGGGATCCAGTGTATCCCGATTCCATGCCTTACTTCTGAAGTAAGGGCTACACCTTTCACTTGAAGATAAAATGAGCTTTCATCTGACTGTTTTTAAACTCAAAAGACACATCATCCCACCCCTCATGGCTAAGCCAGAGACATGAGTAAGATTGTCTGACAGAAAGCACATCAAGCTACACAGAGCACAAAGTCAGTGTTAGTGCATGATTTTTCCTGTATTCACAGAGGATGCCATCCAGAAGAAAACATAAAGCCTCTTGCTTTATATTATAAAATGGTACAAGAGTTTGCCATGCTGCTATTTACCTTGAATTTGTAGATTCTGTCTGTATCCACTTAAGTTTAATTGGGTTACTTTTGAAGTAATATGGTTGACTGCTGCTTTGACATGGGCATCTGTGAAGTTACACCAGGACAAGTTCAGCTCATCCAACCTACACACAAATGAACAGAGTCATTTAGAAGAAATGTGTGAGTTCTGATATTATCCATTACAGTTGAAACGATGTCTGAGTTCTGATATTATCCATTACAGTTGAAACTTTTAAGGCAAAAACTTGTAACACACCTACTACCAACTGAACTGTACCTGTGACTACAAACTTTACTATAATAATTAAGCACTGCAGCAGGTTACCCAGCAAGGCTGTGGAGCCTGTCTTTAGAGGTTTTCAAGATCTAGCCAGAGAAAAGTCCTGGCCAGTGCTGGATTTAGACCCTGCTGTGGGCAAGGGGTTAAAATAACTTCCCAAGGCTACTTCCAGCTGGAATGACTCAATAATATCTTAGGAAGAAAATGGTTCTTTCCAGGGACTGCCATGGGGAGACACTGTTTTTTCAACTTGCTTCTCAGTTTGCCACCTGAATCTGTTACTACTGAACAGATGTTCACATTGAGAAAAAGGCTATCCATTATTAGCATTGGTCAGATGACCAGTTAATCCTCATTAGCATAAAATACTTCACATTTTTATATAAGCATTAGCCACACTGTGAACTTAACTCTCTTTACATGCTCAATTACCTATAGCCTATCACCATTTGGAGCTCAGACAAAATGCTTGTTTTGTGTACAGGTGTTGTAGATTTAACCAGAGGACAAATACACCATGGACAGGAGAAGCAGAGCACGTGGCTACAGTCGTTATGTAAATGAAAAAAAATAAAAAACACCCACCCCCCCACCCCACCCCCCCAACCAGTTAAATTGCCACTAGCATTCCTCAGATCAGGTTTGCCATCTGCTATCCACTGTGCACTGTATGGACTGCCATTCTCTGAAGAGCTCATGATCCGAGCAATAGAAAGCATTATCTACCCATGAGAGGCAGTGAATGATGAAGGCTTTGTCTGCCCACTCACTTGGACTTTGATTAAAAATGTGCTTTTGCAGAAGCAAAAATTAAGTAGATTGTCCAGCATCTCACAGGAAGTCAGCAGAAAGATCAGGGTACAAATCCCAGACAGACTGGGGCTCAGCTCGGTGATTTCCTGCCAGCAGATGGTTTAATCACTGGCACCGTCAATCTGAGCACAGTGCTTCATAAAGTGAAAGGTTACTGAAGGATCACGAATGAAAAAGCATGATGTTTTCTGCCATTCACACTGCACTCTGATTGCAAAGGGAGCTCTGCAACTCCACTTTTCAGCTCCAAAACACACTCTCACTTTGTGAGGATCATGTACTGCTTTTCTCAAGAAAATTGACTTTACATGATACCAAGCAGACTTCCTTTGAGGACGATTAAAGAAATTAATGAAAAACTGCTGAAGTACGTCTTTGTTATTAAAGAACAAATTGCTTGATGGAAAGAAACTGATTATTCAGCTAATAATAACTGGTAGGCATTTAGGAAGAGAAGCCAGCTCATAGAAAAAAAAAGAAAAAAGAAAAGAAAAAGATATTAAAGATAAGTACAATTGGGATGCATATGGAAAGAATTAAAAAGAATAGTTTTTCTCAGGAAGAGCAGGAAACAGGAATAGCAAAAACTATTTTTGTCTTACATAGAACAGCTGCTCAACATCAGCTTCAAGGGTTCTACAGCAAACCCTGAGCACCCAGAGAGATTTAGTCGCACCAAACTGGGATTCTGAGCAATATATCTGTAGGGAAGAAAAAGGGAAACAATTTTAATATTGGAACACTGCTTGCATTGTTAGGAAGTATGATTATTTTTAAGGGCTAAAACCCCAGGCACAGAATTATTCATTAAATACATGGCACTGCATCTTTAGTAACCTGACCAACCTGAGAGTCACTAAAGATCTCAACTCCAGCTGCTGCATCACAGCACAACTTTGAGAGGGATACTTGCCTATTTACCTTACATTCCTGACAGGTCTGCATATTTATAACTGCTAAGTTTAAAAGGAAACAGTTTATTTTCACCTTCTCCTATTGTATAACATTAAACACACACCATGGCTTATCACAGATGATTATACCTCTACAAAAGACAAAGTAACCATCCCATTTCTGAAGCCACCCCTCTGCAAGATGAAGATTATTTGAGAACAAAACACATGTCCAAACAGCATCCCCCCTGCATGCACTTGTCTGCAAGGTTACAACAGACATGCAAGTGGAAAAACCTGGAAAATCCCTTACATCCAGTATCTAGATTTCACAGAATCATAGAATGGTTTGGGTTAGAAAGGACCTTTAGATCCTCTAACTCCAACCCCCTGCCATGGTCAGGGTAACCTCACCCTACACCATTATCACCCAAGGCTCTGTCCAGTCTGGCCTTTAACACTGCCAGGGATAAGGCAATAAAATTCCAACCCTAATTAGTACTCATTTTCAGGCACTTTTCATCTGGTATCAAAAGCCAACTAACATTGGTTTATTTGTGCTCTGGGAATTTGTTAGTTCTGTTTGGGTTTTGTATGTTTGGGTTTTTTTGCATGTTTGGTTGGTTTGTTTTGTGGGGTTGCTTTTTGTTTTCTTCTCTGGAGCAAGAAAGGCATCAGAAAGCTCAAGAATAGGAAACTGGACACCCAGAGTCTCTACCATCCGAGCTATGGTCCCTGGCACCTCCAGAATGACCTGCTGTGGTTGAACAGGAGGTTTACTGCATGCCCATTAGTGTCATTACAGCAACATTAGTGTCACAACAGCAACAGTTCATCTCCTTGACAGACTGTCAATTTTAAGACACTTACAAGTGAAGTTCAATGAAAAAGTGAGAACCAGTGCAGAAGTACAACAAGCACCTGGTGGGAGAGCTGCTGAGACCCCTTAAAACAGAAAAGAACCTGCATGCTAAACAGAAAGTTCTCCTGGGAGCACAGATATGGGGAAATGATAGTAGCTCCGCTGTACAGCTTGGCTGTGGGAACAGCCAACAGACACGTAAACCCTAGAGAGACGAGCAGGCTTCTCCTGCTTTGGGGAATAAAAAAAGAAGCCCAGCACCAAGAAACACTCTTCCAGAGGGGTATCTGCTCCTCACCTCATCTCTTGGATGATAGAGAGAAATGAGGCAGCTCATCTAGCCTGCCAGCTAGCCCTGTCAGATATCTAAATATGGCAATTTAAAAAGGCTCCCACAACAAACAACTCTCAAATGCATTCTTTTGCTAGCCTGCACAAAATGATAGCACTGAAAGGGAGGTATTTACTGAATATTCCCAAACTTATCACTCACTCGATGATGTCATCAGAAAGCACTAGCCCCTCCAAGCTGAGGTTCTGCAGCTTTTCACACAGACTAAGAATACTCTGGAGACTTGCAACAGACATTGTACAGTTCGACAAATCCATACATTGAAGTTTGAGAGGTCTACAAAAAAAAAACAGAAAGAAAAAGGAGAAAGGCAGGTTACAAAAATTTCATTAAAACCTGCTCCACAAATCCCCCAGACCATAAATATATCCCCTACAATAAAGCTGTGCAAAGCCTGCAGAAAATAATACTTTTGTATTCAGCTGTACATGAACATACTAATAAGCTCACTGGGACTACTGTTAAGCTACCACCCAAAACTGGAGACCTCTTAACTTCAAGACATTTACAGGATTCATCATAACAGCTGACAGTCTATCCTGCTGGAGTTAAATATTTTTTTGAGTGTTCCATATAAAAACACTGGAGATGCTAACAATTCTTGGTTCTACAAGATACAAACTACATTGAACGATGGTTGCTTGATATTTTCAAACAAATCACAGTAACTCAGTTTTAAACAACTGACAGGTGAATGCAGATCCTCTTGCTTCAACACATCTAACTACTGATCAGCTCTTTCACACTCCAGAGACAGCACAAATGCTATTACTGGTGGAGACCTTAAAACCAAAATACAGAGAAATTGTGAATATTAGAGACAATGTTTAAGGATACAGAACATGCAGAAAAATCCTTACTTGCTTGTTTTGAACAATGGGCTCCCAATAGAAGATCGTGGGCAGCGGAATACAGTAACACCTGCAGGCAGCAACTGTCCAACCACCCCTGGCAACAAAATTTTACCAGCCAGATCAAGAGTCTGCCAGAGAGATTCATCAAACCTAAGGCACAGAATATTACTTGTTAGTGAGGTAGAAAGGGTGAGAGGCATGAGTACAACTACTGAAAGTTTTCAGTGTCACAAAAGACCGAGAAAACTATTTAACAGAACTTACTAATGTTGAAATATGCAAGCCATCTTTTGATTATACATACATATAACCCATATATAACATAAACTGAATTATATATGAATAAACAAGGTAGGAACCAGATCATTTAACAGTCTTTGGAAGCAAAGTTTTTCTTAGTACTACAAGATGAGAAGTAATACTTACGAAAGACGATGCCACCTCTTGCAAACAACAGAAACTCTTATCAAGTCACTTAGGGGCAAATATGCAAAGATGGCCAAAAGCAATTCATCTGGAAGTGTATCCCAAGAAGCACCTTTAGGAAAAGAGCAAATGTTCTAGTTAAAACTCATTCATTTTTGCCTGCTGATGAGACAGACTGTTAGAAAGCACCCCTGCATCTCTAAGCATTAGAGATCAGCCTGCTACTCATCTCCCTTTCATGTCTTTGTTGTAGGAAGATATTTGTGCAGGCGCAACTGGCAAATGTAAAGCTTTCCATAACATCAACCTAGTATACATACTAAAGGTATAGAAAGACAAATTCCAGGGGAAAAAAAAAATATCACAATAATCTTTGCTCATATACTCATTTTTGAAACAAGAGCATCTCAGTTACTTCCTACGTATTCTAAGGCGTGTATGGTCCTTCTTTCCCCCATTCTCTTCTGAAATGCCCATCCTTCCTATTCATGCCAGGCTCCCAGAAGGGAGCCCAAAGTGAGCTATGCTTTTGCATGGTACCTGGGGAAAAGGAGGTACTGCAAACTGCTCCTTAAATTACGCACACTAACAACCAAGAATTATTTGAAAAGATGTGGTGCAATCTCAGCTTCTCGTGAGTAGATACAGAGCTCCAGAAGGTGTTGCCATTCACATTCTGATTGACAGGTTTAAGAACAGCTGCCTATAAACCAGAATCTGTCTTGTTTAAAATCAGGGTCATCTGACAGCATTCTGTCATGGTTTAAGCCCAGCCAGTAACTCAGAACCATGCAGATGCTTGCTCAAACATCCCCCTCTTTACTCCCCCTCCAGGTGGGATCGGGAGGAGAACTGAAAGAATGTAAACCCCACAGGTTGAGGTAAGAACAGTCCAGTAACTAAAATATAAATCTACTAATAGTAATAATGATAGGGAAATAACAAGGGGAGAGAATATAAAACTAAAAATGGGAAAAAAAACAATAAACACAAGTGATGCACAACACAATTGCTCAGCACCTGCAGAACGATGCCCAGCCTGACCCAAGCACCAATCTGGGCCTTCCAGGTAACTCCCCTCAGTTTTTACACTGGGCATGATGTGCTGTAGTATAGAATACCCCTTTGGCCAGTTTGGGTCAGGTGTCCTGTCTTGGCTTCTTGTGCCCTTCCTCACTGGCAGAGCACAAGAACATCTCAGCTTCTTGTGCCCTTCCTCACTGGCAGAGCACAAGAGCATTTCAGCTTCTTCTGACCTTCCTCACTGGCAGAGCACAAGAGCATTTCAGCTTCTTCTGACCTTCCTCACTGGCAGAGCACAAGAGCATTTCAGCTTCTTCTGACCTTCCTCACTGGCAGAGCACAAGAGATTAAAAAGTCCTTGATCAGGGTAAGCGCTACTGAGCAAGGACTACACTCTCAGTGTGTTATCAGCATTGTTCTCAGACAAAAGCCCAAACACAGCACTGCACCAGATACTAAGAAGGAGAAAAATAACTGTTACAGCTAAACCAAGGTCATGGTTCACATCATGGTCTAGCCAGGTCTGGAGAGAGCTGTAATTTTCCTTTGCATTCTGCAGTTTCTGCAGATGGAAAACTTTTCAACACCAGGGAAAGGAGCCCAGCATCCTATAACCTTTTTTAGTGCCCCAGGTCTTCAGGTTACAGCCCTGCTCTTTCTCTGCCAGTCCCTTTCCTACACCCTTCGCTGTATGTTCCCCGTAGCTCTCTGGCAGGGTCTTTGCATTGCTTACAGCTCAGCTCCAAAAGGAGGCTGAGGTATGCCCCGGCATACCAGCGTCATGGTACCTGAATCGCGGAGCAGCCGAGGCCGGCGCACAATGACAAAGTCCCTCTCCTTCATCTTCTGCCGTTTGTGAGAACAGGATGATGCCCCCTGCGCATCTTCTACAGTGTTTTCATCGTCCACCTTCTCCTTCTTAAGGACAGACACTCCCAGAAGCTCCGAGGTCCTGCTGGCGTCGCAGTCCAAGCCCCACAAAAAGCTGGTGGACACATTGTTGCTGGACACATTGCGGCTGGAAGATAAGATATCTTTGAGGTGTTTTCTGCAGAGACAGGCTCTGAAGGCACCGCGTATGCACAGAACCACTTCACGGTCACACTGACCCCACGTCCCTAATATTACGAGCGCTGGGTCCGCTGAGCCGTCAGCTCATCAGGCACACTCAGCCAACCCGCCAGGGATCACGCAAACCCGGTTCCCGGGTCGGCTCCGCGGGCGAGCAGGGGGCTGGTGAAAGACGGCAGAGATGCGCTACGGCTCGCACCCCCCCCCGCCCACTTCTCCCACAGACCGTGCTGCGGAAATTCAGCGCAGCCGGGGGCACTCGACGAAGGGCCGAGGACGAAGGGACCGTGGAGGGGGAGCGCGGGATACTCCGCTCTACCCCATCCCGCCAGCGCTCCACGGTCAACGAGAGCGCCGCCACCCCCGCGTGCTGCACGGAGGCGGGAGGGGGGCATTCCGGGAGACCCGCAACCACGGCCCCATGAACGGCTCGCACCCAGGCACCACACATCAGTTCCCGCCGCGAACGCGCGGGAGGAACGCGACGCTCCGCGCCCCGCGAACGCTCGTGAACCTGAGCTCCCCCGCTCCCTCGCATCCCGTGCGCCAGCGGGCAGAGCGCGGCCCGCTCCCCCACAGCCCCCCGCTGCCGAGGCCGCACGCACTCGGGGCACCTGAACATGTCGCCGACAGCTGACGGCCAGTCGCACGCTCCGCTCCGCTCCCCTCAGTGCACAACCCCGATGTGCCGCGCCGCGCCGTTATAACCCCGCGCGCGCGCGCGCAGGTGGGCGGGCCTCCCGGAAGCAGGTGGCCGTCCGCCGCAAAGGCTGCCGGGAGTTGTAGTTCATAGTCAGTCAGCCTGACCCGCACCCACGCCCACACCCCGCCACCGCGGACGGGCCGTTCCCACAGTGCCTTGCGCCCATCTCCGGGGCGGAGGGGGGGGGGGGTGATGTCGACGTCAGCGCCGCTGGGGAACGGCGGTCGGGTGTTGAGGGGCAAACGTGGAGGCGGCGGCCGCCATGGTTATTGTGACGCGGAAAAAGCCGGGAGTGGTCGCCGCTTTCTGCATCTGAACCTGCGCGTCGAGGCCGGCGGCAACCGGGATGGAGGGTGGCGGGGTCCCGCGAGGCACCGGCTGCTGATCAGGGCGTTCTGGCTGTGGTGAGGGAGCGGCGCGGCCGGGGGTGCCGCTGCGCCGAGTCACGGCGGGGTGTGGGCCTGCGTGGGGCCGGGCGCGGTGTTGTTGGGAGGATGAGGGGCGGCCGTGTCTCCCCCCCCGGCTGGGAGCATGACCCGGGTCCGGGGCGGGGAGACCCTGTGCTCACCCACGGTGTCTTTGACGAGGAAGCAGCAGGGAGGGGACACTGCGGGGGCTGCGATGAGGACGGGAGGAACCGACGTGTTGGTCTCTCTGCTCTTAGTCCCTGATTATTTTTTTTTCCTTCCTTTAGGGACCTCGAGCAGGGAGGTTTACAGCACGAATGTTGATGTTTGTTAAGTGTCTATCCACTTTAGTTCTGTGCTCCTGACAGGCCAGTGGGCACACAGTGATCGGCTTTAATGGGTGTAATGTGCGGTGGCTGTTTCTGGTTTGTAAGACCGGAATCTCGCTGACATTGACATTTTATCGTGAAAGGTTTTCCTGTGCTTCACTGTGAAGGCCTGATACCGAGGGCCTATCAGTTTATTCTGGTCTTTTCACACCACGTTTCAGATTCACATCAGGGTTTCTTAAGGAGCTCTTCATTCCTTTTCTCCAAACTGCTTGTTTTGAAATTGATGGGGTTGGAAAACTAATTCTGAACACACCTACAACTCCACGCTTAGTCAGCCACTTGCTGGTAGATGCTGCGCTTTGTTTACTGCGTAACGATGGAGAGACCTGCCTGTAAAGCTGGAGATGGTAATGGAAAACATGGCACATCGTATGCAACTATCAAATCAGATATTGATAGTAGTGTGGCTCAAATTAGAATTCATATAATCTTAAGAAAGAGCTTGTGGTAAGTGTTTCTAGTGTTAACTGAAGTAATGGAACAATTGTTTAAGGGTTATAACGTGGATAGTCAAATAAAAGAGCAGTGGTTTTTTTTCAGTAAAAAAAAAAAGATTATTGTGTTACCCTGTTCACCAGCCTGTTTTTCTGTTTTTTTCTTTGTTAATCTTTTCACTTTTTTCTGTTAATGCATCCAAAGTTGAAAGAAGAATTTGCTGAAAAGAATAAAATCCTATTAATTTTTAAAAAGCTCTGAATTACCAAATAGTCTGAGTTTGCCTCAGTACAATGTTAGGATTGCAGTCATGTGGTTGACCACATTACTGACACCTGTTCTGTGTTACTCTGGCAGCCCAGGTTGCAATTTCTGTTATTTTTTTTTAGATTCTTACTGCAACTGTACAGCTTTTGTATCTGATTCTATTTGAGTTCCTCCAGTTGGGAACCAGCCAAGTTGGTTTCTTCAGTATGTTATTTCCAGAGTACTTCCCTGACCTGTAGGAAAACATCAGCCTCTGTGGTAGTTAATATCCCTTATTAGAGGACATGGCAACACCATGTAACACAAATGATCTTTGCATGGTTTTGTACCAATGGTCCCTGCTTGCTTTAGAACACAAAAATCTCCATGATTCTTGTTTAAGCATTTGTTTTTTATTTACTGCTTCTGTGGAGAACCTAGTGTCCCTCTGAACTGGAGATTACTGCTATTTTAAATGGAGTCAGTGCAGCATTTTATGATTTTTTTTTCTTGTTTTGCTAGCTATTGATACGCAATCAATTAAAAGTTAAGTCAGTTTAAAACCTTATCTTCGTTGCAATGTAGTTGAAATTACAGGTACTAATAAAATGTCAATCAGTACATAGATTGACTGTTGCTTCATAGACGAGCAAAGCTATGCAAATTATGCTTTCTTGAGTAATTTCTCCCAAATAGTCCAATCAGAGAACTTGTCAGTTTTCTCAGGCAGCTTATGGCTGTTTTCTTTCTTTAGATAGTTTCCTTAATGTGCTGGGGTTAAGCAGCTCTTTGTCTGTTATCTGCTTATAAATGCTTACTATTTCCCCAATCTGCAAGAGTCAGTGTATAATAAGTAAAAAAAAAAAACAAACAAAACCCAAACCACCAAACCAACCCCACCCCTCTCAAAACCTGAAACCAGGGAAAAAAGGAAACCCCAACAACACAAAGCAGACTTGGATATGAAAGTTGCTGAAGGGATTATTATTATTGTCACTTGACCTCTTGTTCTTCTCTCTTTAAGATTTTTAAAATGTGTCTTTAGACCATTTTGTTGTTTAAAGATGCAAGTGTCAAGAACTCTTTAGTCTGGAGCAGTTCTATCAGTCCAAAAGGTTTAATCAGGTCTGTAAAGTGAAGTGTTACTTTCAAATTCTTAACAGCATAGTTTTCCAAAGTAGGGCAGGCTTCAGTACCCTGTCCAGGTCCTGAACCTTCAGAATCTGTCAGAGGTTGGGGCATCTCATTTTTCTTTTGCCAAGTGAATGTGCTAGAAAAAGCTCAGTAGTCACTAGCAGGTTATTGCCTGACAGAGAAGTAAAGGTCATCATTGAACTAGGCATTGATATTTTATTGGACATGGCAGCTTTCACTTTGTGCTTGCTGCTGAGGTGTGAACTCTGCTTGAGGTGGGAGATGCTATCACACAGATGTTTTTTTGGTATGCTGTGGCTCTCACTTTATTTTATCCATTACTGTCTTTGATATCTCATAGTTTGGTAACTTTCTTGGTGACAGTTTGAGGTGTTTTTTTTTCAGATGTAACTATGGTGTTTAAAATACAAAGCAAGGCAAGGAGATCTCTAGCTGCTTTGCTCTTCACGTGTTTCAACTAAAGCATCCAGGTTTTCTGAAAATCTAAATTTTCTGAATCTGATGTTTACCTGAGAATGCTTCAAGAACAATGAAAAAAGGCTGTAGTATTCTAGAAATGGCTGAGGTACCAAAGATAAGAGAACCAAAAGCATTGTGGCTGTCTTTATTACTAATTTTGAAGGACAGGGAGAATTAGCGATGACAGGCTAGTCTGCTTCCTTTTGAATTCCTGAAGAAAAATCTGGAACAAAATCTATTTGTTAGCATCCAGAATATAGTAGTTGAGTAAAGGACAGCATCAGTTTGTTAAGGACAAATTCTTGAAGTAATCTAACTTACTTCACTTATAGGCCTACTGTAGATAAGAGGGTCAGTTGATGTCTTACATTTGGTCTGTAGTAGGACATTTTATTCCATTTCTCAGGATGTTTTTGTTGGGGAAGAATGGTGGAAACAGCTACTGTTGTAAGGTCAGCCTCTTGTCAACTGCTCTTCATGATATTTACAAAGAGTTTCCATAATGAAATAATGTGACTGTGATAACTTAAAAAGGCATAAAGCTTGAAGAAATTTCAGACCTTTCTGAGTGTGGTAGTGGAAACCAAAATGCCTTGAAGATTCAGAAGCCTGCAGGAGAGGAAGGGGTACAAATCAGTACAGTTTTGTGCTTGCTCTTAAGTTAGTCTTTCTGATTAACTACAGAAATACCAGATAGAGAACAGTGTGGTGTTTCTTAGAGGAAAATAATTGGGAGGGCATAATAAGCTGAGTACATGAAGGGAGTATCACTCAGGTTATACTTCTATTGATACATTTCAGTAAGGCATGTGAAGCAGTGTTTAGCCTCAGTTCAGGCCTTCTCAGGCACTAGCTGGGATGCTGCCTGTGTTCCAGCTCATTGTAGGAGTGGGTGAACTGAGGAGAGTATCCAGAGCAGAAATGAGAAATCTGCAGAAAGTGTGACATTAGACTGACTGGGAAGGATTGAAGCACCAATTACATTAGTCTGCAAAATGAACAATCTGGTGGTAAAATGCTTTCCTGCAAAGTTTGAAAAGAATAAAACTGGGGTACAGTCTGATCTCAAATTTCTGCTAGCAAGGTATTGGAGACCACTTTAGTGAGACCAGGGTCCCTTGTTCACAGATATGCTCTACTCTTTTTAGCTGTTCTTTAAAAATATAATATAGTGTCCTGGGTTTAGCAGTAGCAGTCATTTTTCTCCTTCTTAGTAGCTGGTGCAGCGCTGTGTTTTGACTTTTGGCCTGGGAACAGAGCTGATAACACTGATGTTTTAGTCTGACCAAGGACTTTGTGAGCCTCATGCTCTGCCAGGGAGGAGGGGAAGCCAGGAGGAAGCAGAGACAGGACACCTGACCCAAACTGACCAAAGAAGTATTCAATACCACAGCACGTCATGCCCAGGATGTAAGTGAGAGTTACCCAGAAGTGCTAGGACTGCGGGGTTGGAGGAGGTATCGGTCGGTGCTTGGTTGGGCGGGGTGGGGTGAGTTATCGGTCGGCGGGTGCTGAGGTGATGTATTCTCTCCCCTTGTTATTTACTTTATCATTTTTATTATTGGTGGTAGCAGTAGTGATTTGTGTTATACCTTAGTTACTAAACTGTTTTTATCTCAGCCCATGGGAGTTGCATTCTTTTCGATTCTCCTCTCCGGGAGTAGGGGGAGGGAAAGAAGCGGGGGGAGTGAGTGAACGAATTGCCTGACTGGTTTTAAACCACAACAATAGGAATGTTTTTGTTGTTAAATTTCATGCTCTATATGAATGCTCTAAGAAAGTGTGGCTTTTTTATTTTCTGCTGCTTCATTTATTAACTTGAGTATTTCTGTACCAGGCAGATTAGTTAGCTCATTTGTAATGTAGATGGTTGTGAGAGTGGTTAGTCTTGACGTTGGCATGGTAATTCAATATTGTTGATAGTTTGGAGTCTCCCAAGGCAATTAAGTGTGAACTGAGCTTGCAAAGAGTTATTGACAGGGTTTGGACTCTAGGGGATTTAATGTCAGAATCTTGAAATGTATGTCCTATATTGGGGTAATCAAACTTCCATTAGTGCAATTAAAAACTTTCTGATTCTGTATGTGTCTGAAACCAAGAAAGTCCTAAGTCTGCAAAAGAGTTTCGCCTGTTATTGGTTAAGTTGCACTTCAATGCCAGTGTTTCAGATTTTGATCTTATATTAATCTGTAGCTGCCTTATTCTCCAGAAACAGAGTGTGCTGATACTCTTCCCCTCAGAATGAGGAATTTTGTAACCTTTTGCCATTGCTTGATAGGAACATGTTCTAAGCAGCAGAAGGTTGTGCAGTATGAGAGAACTCTTCTCAAGTACTTTGTTGCTCTCAGGAGAACGTTCTTTAGGGGATCAGGAATTTTAGCCAGCTGATACTAGGATGCCATGCACTAATAGCGAGAAGCCTGCCTAAATAAAAAAAAGGAAGAGAGCTATGGGAGAGAAACTTACCTTTCTTTGCGGTACCAACCAAGTTCAGAGGCAAATACTGCTTGCTGCAGGAAGGTATGGCTTTATAGCCTGCAGTAATGTATATTAAGGTCTAATTCTAGTAGCATGGATCCCAGATACGTCTGTCCCATTAGGCAGGATTGAGTTCACAATAAGAGCTCCTCTCAAGCATTCCATATATCACCTTGTGGATTTTTTTCTGTTTAAGCTGTGTGTGTGGAGAACTAGTTTTAAGTGGTTTCTATCTAAAAATTTTGAAATGTCATTTTGAAAATGTCTGTTTTATTATTTCAAAACAACTCTTACTTGTCATCAGTTGCAGTCTGGAAAAAAAATTAGGCCTTTCATTTTGTATGTTGTAATTGCAATAGGAACCAGGTCAAGAAGAGAAAGTAATTTACATGTGCAAAGTTGCTTTTGCCTTTGAAAGTGAGCTAAGTTTTGGTGGAACTCAATTCCCATCTCTGTTTTTTAGCATATTCATTATCTTTTTATGATCCTTTTGTTAAGTTCCCTCATGGTAGTAACAGTATAGCATATTGCACAAAAACTTTTCACCTTCTGTTTTGATAGCAGCTTTTTAGGAGTGACTATAGTAAAAAATTGTATACCGCTACCGCCAATAATAATAATGATAAAGGAAATAACAAGGGAAGAGAATACAACCGCTCACCACCCGCCGACCTATACCCAGCCCAACCCGAGCAGTGATCTTGCCCTTTGGGTTACTGCCCCTAGGTTCTATACTGGGCATGACATGCTGTGGTATGGAATACCCCTTTTTGCTAGTTTGGGTCGGGGGTCCTGTCTCTGCTTCCTCCCAGCTTCCCTTCCTCCCTGGCAGAGCATGAGACTCAGAAGGTCCTTGGTGGGATTAAACATTACTTAGCAACAACTAAAACCAGTGGTGTTATCAGTGTTGTTCGCAGGCTGAAACTCAAAAACACAGCAGTGCACCAGCTACTAGGAAGGAGAAAAATGACTGCTACGGCTGCATGCAGGACAATGCTGTATAATTTTTTTGTTTACATAGTATAAGGTGTGGCTGTAATGGGCACCTACATATGTCAGAACGCCCTGCCTTCATAAAGTCGATATATAATATTTATTTTCCATTCATTTTTGTTGGAATTTGCTATGATAGTATAAATACAAGAGACCACTTTTTGAGGAAGCAACAATGGTACAACAGAATAGACAAGGACTTGCTTAGAATATGTGATTAAGAAATAGGTTAGCTATCCCGGATTTACAAATGATTTAGCCAAAATTTGGAACAGGCAGATAGCATGGGGGTACTTTGACCTAACAGAAATTCTGTTTATTTGGTAAACATGTTAGATAAAAGACAGAAGGTGAAAAGGACATGCATCTTTCATAAGAAATAGCAAGGTAACTCAAGCTATTTTCAGAATATGGGGTGCTTTGTGTATAGCAGCCAATATGGAGTAAACAGACTGCTCTTACTATTCTGAAATTAAACGTGAAAGTAGCAAAATTGGAGAGAAAAAAATTATAAAATAATTGTCCTATGTGTCCTAAAAGAAGTACTAGCATCACAAACTTTGGAATTTTGTAGTGGAAGTAAGACACATCTCACTGCTGGGTGCCCTCATCCATAGAAGATCTGCTTAAGCAGTATACTGAGAGATTGGTAGAAGAGTAAGTTTATACAAATTCTGAAGGGATTTAAAAGTCAACTGAGGAAATCTTTTAGTAGTAGCATTTAAAAAAAAAAAATCTATCAAGTTCCAATGAATAGTGAAAGCACTGAAAATACAGCAGTGGGGAAGCCATAGCAAAACATATGCTATTTCCATTAAATCAAACCAGCTATGATGGTAATCCTGATGGAGAACCAAGCCAGTCTGACCAGAGTAATAAACTTTTGTTTATTTATAATGTGTGAAGTGCTATGGTAAAAAAGATGCTTATTAAAAAGAGTCAGAAGCAGTTTAATTGACAATGTGACACGTCAGTGAAGTTTTCCCTAATAGGTTTGTGCAGCTTACTGGCCCTTCGCATAATGGCACTGGTACCAGGTTTGTAGATGCTTCTAGCCATCCTGAATGTAACGCAGAGTAACTAAACCCAGAAGTGTAAGCAAACCGACAATGTATCATGGGCAGATTAGTAACAAATTAATTGAAACCTTTGTTTCTATGATAGAACACCAGTAGGCAGGTGAATTAGCTAGCTTGTTACCTTTTTACCCTATGAAATTTGAAACCTAAAAGAGGTACCTCGCAAGTACATGCAACATGTACTGCACTGTACTTTTATGCTCTCTTGAGTGCAGGATTTAAATGCATAGTTAAGGAATGGTCCATTAATAAAGTTGCTCATTAGCTTTGCAGAAACATTTAATTTAAACATGTAACCCTTTGTCCAAATTTGCTGATTTCTTCTAAAACAAAAAAAAATCAGAATATACATATGTATGTATGTATTTATTTATTTATTACTGGACTTAAGCATTACGCTTATAATCTTATTTAAAGACAGAGATTTGACTTCTGGATCTATTGTATGTCAGGTAGGTGAATAAGAGATGAGATGAGTATGTTGCTAGAAGTGACAAAATTGAAATGACATGATATTTTGATTTCTGCAGAGAACTTTAGAACACCTTGCTAAAAATCTTGTTCTTCATCTGATCAGAACTCTTGTCATGTGAAGTAAGAAAAGTCTAGTTATGGGTTAACAAATGTCTGTTAAACAACTCTTTTCTGCATAAATATCTTTCAGAGATTTTAATGTAATTAAATGTCTTTCTGTCTTACAGTTCTGATCTGCCTTTTTAAGTGGGCTGCGCTGTGCAGCTGTGGTGAACACTCAATAATGAGTGGGGTAGCGTTGGGCCTTGAGATAGTATTTGTCTTCTTTCTGGCCTTATTCCTGCTTCATCGGTATGGAGACTTCAAGAAGCAGCATAAGCTGGTGATCATAGCAACGTTATTGGCTTGGTATCTCTGCTTTCTTATTGTATTTATACTGCCTCTGGATGTCAGTACGGTAAGAGAGTTGTGAGATTTCCTGCTTAGATGTGTAAAATGTGTATTTTTTTTTTTAACTAATAATTTCTTAAACATCAAATAAATTTTCCAAAAAGTATCTTACTAAAATAAACACTTGTTACCTTTTTGCATGACAGCATCTGTGCTTACAACTAACGTTACTTTTTGTTGATCTCACCTGATAAAAAACATATTTCAGATGCTTTAAAATTTCATTATTTTTTTTTTTCAATATAAATTATCTCTTTAGGTAACAAAAACACTTCCAATGTGTTTACTTACTTGTCCTGCAGATTGCATGTTGTTTTGAAGGTTTATTACTATATTTGCTCCAAATGCAGTACAGAAAATGTCTTTTAAAGTGGGTCTTATTGTTTTTAAATAGATGTTATACATTTTTGATCACTGATGTAAAATTAACTGTCTTGCAGACTATTTATAATCGGTGCAAACTTGCTGTTAATTCCAGCCCTGCAGAAAGTAATGGCTCTTATGTTTCTCTTGCTCCAAGGTATGAGCTATATGTTTTCCTCATTAGATAATTTTTCAAGAAGTGTTTTACGATTTTCTTCTTTTAAATGATAGGAGTGTACTGTGATATAAAACCTAATAAACAAGGGTTATCTGTGTGATATGACACCTGAAGATTGTAATCATACAGGAAGGTGAGCGAAGAAGTGAAGAAAAATGCATCTACATCTACTGGTAGAATTATGCAGTTGTTCTAACTGATTACCTAAATATTCCTTTCTTTTTTCTTTTTTTTTAAATCATGCTAGATTTCTTCTATCTTGTTGTTAAAGCAGTAGAACTAAGCTTTTCAAACTGTCTTGGTTATCTGTGAGGACAGACCTTGGTGAATGGTTCTCTTTCCTCCAGAGTCTTAAAGACTTTAGACCTGAAAATCTAATTTTGCACGTTATGAATGAAATTGGTAGACTTGTCTTATATGTAAACAGTATATCCAATTGCTTATTATAATTGTGTGTACACACACACATAGTAATTAGAATTATCTGAAATTTACTACATTCTACCAGAGTAATGATAGTCTGCTTGCTGTCTTCTGGCAGGAAGGAAGTAATCCCTAAAACATGGTGAATGTGGGCTCTTTCCATGGCTGCTCATTCTTTAGCTGCTATTGGCTCTTTCTGTATGTTGTAGATGTAGATGTATGCAGTGTAGTTATCTGTAAGACAATTAGAGCATTTGAGATGTCAGTTGATCCATCCATGCAATGTATTGCCAGTTCTGTTGCACCACAGCAGAGGCTATCTGGTTGTTGTATATTCATGGAAGAACAGTAAAATGCCAGACTTAGTGACACAACTTTGTACCTTTTATTTAAGACTATGGAATTTACAATAATTAAGCATACTTAGGTAAATACACAATTTGAAAACTATTCAATAGCGTTTCTATTTACTTACAGTTTCAGAACATGCTGGTGGATGTTGTATTACAGTATATGACTTGAGTATTTCAAATAGCAATATCAGTGTAAGTTTGAGCAGATATTGTGTTGATACATGTCAGATCTTAAAACTTCAGGTGACACCTGTAGTCACACTATCATTCTGTGGTAATTTGATAGTTTTGAAACTATTTAGGCTGTGTACATAAAAACCCACAGCTCAAGCTTAACTAGTTCAACCCTGGAAAACACCAATTATTTCTCAATAGGTAATCTTATTAAATTGACTGTGTTGCCCCTTGACTCACCATTGCTTTATTACCCAGGCAGGTGTGGGAATAAACATGAAGTGCCTTAGAGAGTAGATGTGCACTTTGAGTTTTGCTCTTTCATTTTTTTTCACTGAAAAGTTTCTTGTGGCTTTTTTGGTCTTCTGAAGCAAGCGCTACCTGTCAGAGAAGTGTTGGCTCAACAAATCACGGTTGATATAAGCCTGATTAAGAAATAACTAATACACTTTATTTTTCTTTTTTAATTGCTAATGCTCTTGGTAGTAGAGCTAGGTAATGGGGCCCCTAGATACTTCATAAGAACCTACTCCACTAACTAAAGTTGAGTAGTCTTCTGTCTAAGGAGTTGATTTTTCTTTGCATGAAGCAAGCATTTACTGCCCAAAAAGAAAAAACTATAAGCTTGTATTGCTTAATTGTTTATCTCTGTAGACTGTGAGCTACTGTTTTTTTTCTCTAAGAAAGCTGCCTTGTACACATATGTTATGTGTGGTGAGGAGAGCAGTAAGCACTTTAAAGTAGTGATTCAGTTTATTTTCTTCTGAGATGATTGTTGGTTGACTATGTACTCAAATAGTTGTGTATTACTTCTATGCTTTTTTTCAAAGACCTTTCTAGATAGAGGAATTTATAGAAAATGTATTTTATACTTTTGGCCCTAAAACTAATAAGAAGTTTCTGTACACTGTTACAGCAAGCAAAAATGCTTTAAACCCTGGAGTTACATTCCTAATGGAATTATGCCAGTTTTCTGGCGTGTTGTGTATTGGACATCACAGTTTTTAACATGGTAAGTAAAGCAAAGCAACATGACAAAGACTACAGTATATGTGTAGTTTCAAAGTGTGGCTTCTTAACAGTGATAATACACTTTTTAAGAATATATGTCACTATTCCACAGACCTATCTAGTCATGTATTATTTGCTGGCAATGAAATTTCTCTAATAATTAATGTATTAAATTGAGCATACTTTTTCAGGTGGCAGCGTTTAACTCTTGCTTCACTTCTTATAGTTGAAACTGAGCAACTTATACAAAGGTGTTTATGGATAGATTGTCAGAAAAAAATGGGGTTTAGGCAAACAGCAAAATAACTCATTCATAAGTTGGTTGATTTTTGAGTAATATTGTAAATAATTTTGTTTTACTGGACATACTCTATAAAGCTATAGATGTAGCTGCAACAAACAGGTTGTCTGTGCTTTTGGGTTAGACTGATGTGTGGTTTCAGATCAACCTACCATCAAATTATTATTTTTGTAGCTGTGTCAAGAATATCAGAGTTGGTAGTGAGTTTTCAATTAACTCAGATTTTTCGAAGTAAAGCTAACTGTATAGTTTCTATCTGCAGCATGTTTAAGGTTTGCTGTCAGACTAGTATATCTAGAACAAAACATTGAACTAGTCTTTAGCTTAAACACCCCTATCTCAGTATCCAGCCACTGCTGGATAAACCTACTGTTTGGGTTTTTTCTTCTTTTTGTCTTTTTCCTTTTTGGTTGACTGATGTAATTTGGTTTTGTTTGCTTTCCTCTTAGGATTCTGCTACCTTTCATGCAGTCATATGCTAGATCAGGAGGGTTCTCCATTACTGGAAAGATTAAAACTGCATTGATTGAGAATGCAATCTATTATGGCACTTACTTACTGATTTTTGGAGCATTTTTAATATATGTGGCTGTAAACCCAAACTTCAATTTACAATGGTAAGAATAATATTGTAAGGACTGGCATGGGTTCTTATGAAACTGTCATAGGTAATCTCTTCCATATATGAAATGAGTGTTTTTATAATAAACAGGTTTAGTTGATCTGACTTTTGCTAGGCAGTTGGGAAGCTTTGTTGGCTTTTTTTGTGAAAAGGGATTTTTTGCCTATTTATAGAAACCTATGTTTTGGTTTTCTAATTTTGGCATGTGTGGCAGAGGAGCCCCTTGCATTAGCAGTGGGATATTTTTTTCTCCCTACAAATCCATTTACAAAGTTAGTGCAGAAACTTTGTCAGTGGTGTCAGAATAACATCTTTCAAAAATCCTGTGTCAGTATTTCCTGTGTAGCGCTTCTGTCTTCTGTGGATTCTATTTAAAGGAGATAAAATACTTGGTATTTATAACAGTGCTAATGGCCTTCCATACTAGACACAATTACCATTATGTAATGCCTCATCGCTTTCAACTCCCTCTTTGTATGCAAATCTTGCGTTCTGAGACTGTTGACTATAGTGACTATCATTATAATGTTTCAACCTTGCTTTCAGTAAGTTTGTTAATTTCCTGTTGCTTCCTAAAGAAACATACTCCTTGAGAACAAATATTTTTGTTTTCGCTCCAGAGGAGGCAGAAGTGTGGGAGATACAGAAAAATTGTGGCAGCTTTAAATATGATCAAGTAGCAGACTTGCCCTAGGCAAGAATTACGGATGATACTAAGCCTGTTTCTTAAATTTGAAAGCCCTGTTGATGCATAGATACTTCAGGGTTGCTTTCTTGAGGATGGGGTAGGAGGATGTTTTTTGTTTGGGTGGTTTTAGTTTGTTTTTTGGCGGGGGGGGGGGGGGGATTGTTTGAGTTTTGTTGGTTTTTTTTGTTTTGTTTTTGCAATTTTTCTTTTCCTTAGGAGCCAACTTCAGACTATTGGGATAGCCGCTGCAAACACATGGGGTCTCTTTCTTCTTGTGTTGCTTTTGGGTTACGGTTTGGTGGAAATTCCCCGTTCTCACTGGAATGGGGCCAAGAGAGGTTATCTGCTCATGAAGACCTATTTCAAAGCTGCTAAACTGATGACTGAAAAAGCAGATGCAGAGGAGAATTTAGAAGATATTATGGAGGTAAGCAACTAGCTTTCACTATGAAGTAAGTGAAGGCTGCAGTTAATCATCTCTGAATTTCCTGGTATTGGGCACTTGTGGCACAATATTCCAGTGTGGACTTGAAAACGTGGTGTACATATGTTTCAGTAATGTTCATGCAAATTGTGTATGTCTGCACATACGTTCTTCTCCTTGTATATTTCTGGAATCTTGAGAAGAGTTTCCAAATTCAGTTTGCAGGACCATGCTATGTGCCTTTGAGAAGAGAATATATAGAATATTGGGGTTTTTCCAATCAGTTTATTTTGAGACTGTTTATTGTTATTTGTGAGTGAGCTATAGGATCTAATGCAATTCAAGAACAGAATGGAAATACAACCCATATGAGTAGCTTTTCCCTGTTCTACTGCTGTGGTACCGTGGCTTGGAAATAATACTCCTGAAGAGTTTTGGGTAGGGTGGTAACTGTGATATATCAACATAAAATAATAGCAGAATCTTCATTCGTTAGTAATAGAAGAAATCTCTATAAACATCTGGGTGGGACATAACTCCAAAGCTTACTAGAAAATGAACAAGAAAAACTTGGTTTACAAGGATAGCACTTTGAACTGAATGGAACAGAATAGAGTATTTCATTTGGAAGAGACCTATAGTGATCATGTAGTCCAACTGCCTGACTGCTTCTGGGCTGAACAAAAGTTAAAGCAAATTATTAAGATTATCATCCAAAACCTGCAGAGGGAGGTACTTATCTCTGCTCCTGGCTATCCAGTAATAGGACACATTGGAATGGTTCAGAGCTGTGTCTGGGGAGTTTCAAACTGGACAGTAGGAAGCATTTCTTTACTGAGAGGGTGGTCAAACCCTAGAACAGGCTTCCTAGAGAGGTGGTTTATGTTCCACCCCTGTCAGTGTTTAAAAAGCATTTGGAGAGTGCTTTTAATAACAGTTTAGCTTTTGGTCAGCCCTGAAGTGGTCAGGCAGTTGGACTAGATGATTGTAGGACCCTTCCAACTGAAAATGTTCTGATCTGTTCTGTTTCATTAAACACAACATACTCTGTGCCGTGAGGGCTCTTCTGTGGCTTAAAACCCCAGCATTTTGATGGAGGCACCAGTTCAGGAGCCAGGTATTGACATTATTGGCTCACCTGTTTTCTCCCAAGTCTCCCCCCATTAGTGGGAGAATTGAGGGAGAGGCTACCTGTGCTCCTCAGGTTTTTTAGCATTCTTGCTGGGGCTGTGAAATCTCTTTTAATCAGCGTCAGACTTTTTGTTGTGACATCCTTAGTGCCCCTATGAAAGAGCAGGAATGGATTGCAGTCTGAAGGGTGTACCTGTCAGTCTTGTAGTGATGACCCCGATTTGGGCTCAGGGAGGCAGCAAACTTCCCTGAAAAGAGGGTCTTGTACTAGACTGCTGTCTTGTGCTAGATTGTCCTTTAAGTCAGGTATGGTAACTGACAGATTCTGAGGTTATGTCATATACAACATAAAACACATTTTATTGTTAATATAGGATAAAAACCTTCCTTCAATGTTTGGCACTTTTTTTTCCCAACTTCTTTTTCTTTCTGTCTAGAAACAATTGCACTATGATTGCACTGTACCTTAGAAATTCTGGCCAATATTTCATTTTCAACCTTCACAGGAAGACTGAACTATGTGAAAATATGTAAAATTTTTTAAGAATGTTGGTGATGATTCTGAGAGCTTGATTGTTAATAGTATGAGCTGCTGCTGCATCAAATAAATCACAAGATTTTAGCTCTCACCCAGTTTAATTCAGGCTTTTGTTTTTTTTTCTTTATCAGGGATTATGAAAATGCAAGAAACTGTAGTGGTGGATGATACTTCAAATTTATTTTTTTTTTAATGCTTTTTCCAGTCCAGTGCTCTACTTGATAGGGCTGAATATGTTAGGATTGACTCTTACAGACATTCTTGAGGGATTTTCCTTTTTTTTATAATCCCACTACATAATAAAAAATCCTTCTCCATAGACTGATCAGATCTCTTGTGAGATGCAGAAGGAATTCAGATTTACTGAGAGGCATCTCTTAGAACAGCTTTTTATATGTGGAAGGACTGTCTATATCCGTTTAGCCTCCTTTGACACACTAAACAAATACAGTTCTTTTGTCTGCTTAATCATCCTATTTGACAGTATCTCTAAGCCTTTCCAATTATTTTTGTCCTCTAAAGTCTATAACTTTTTGTTGTTGTTTTGGTTTGGTTTGGTTTTTAAAGTGTCATTTGTAACAACAAGAAACCATCAAAACATTATCTCTAGATTGCCAATAGGATGAAGAATAAAATTTGTTTCTCACTAAGCCTGATAAACTGCTAGAGCCAGTTCTGACAGAACTTTTCTAGCTGTTAGGTAGCATCTTTTTATTACTAATAAATGCCAAATGGTTGCAGAAGTAAGCTATGTGGAGATAATGTGAGGAAGATATAAAATGAAGAAGTGTAAAATTATATTCATCAAGCTCCTTAATGTAGTAAAATGAAACTAAACCAGGCAAGACAAACTCCTCCTCTTTACCTACAACTAAAACAAGAATTTTCCATTTCAGCATTCATGTGTAGAAACTAGTCCTCCACACATTCACAGAGTATTGTTTGCGTACTGGCATAGGTTTATGTATATATATTCTTTAGAAATACTTCAGTTATCTTTTATTAGATATCTAGTAGAGCTATGGCTTTTAGGAAGCTCTATTGTTTTTAAGCTCTGATGGTTATCTTTTCCATTGGAAGCACCAGAACTCTTGCCTGATCCTGTAAAATGTTTTAATCTATTTAGCAGAATGAAACAAATCTGTATTTTTTTTAATTCAACAGGAAGTTCGTAAAGTAAGTGAGAGTATCAAGTATAACCACCCTTTGAGAAAATGTGTTGATACAATACTGAAAAAGGTAACAAATTTCTCATCCTTCAGTCATAATTGTTCAACTGGGAGGGGGTGTTCCTGCACCTGGTGAATACTTGTTCATTATTTTCTTTTCCCCTAACATAAAATCTGTAATTGGCATCTTGTGAGTTTCTGACTGGAATTTGAATTTAAATTCTTTGTAAAATGCTTTCTTTTGATGTATTTTGACATATGCAGTATTGAAACAGACAAATCTACACTTTAAGTGGGCCTTTCCATTGCATGAAATGCACCAAACATTTACTCATAATTAACAAAGAGCACTTGCTATTCCTTTATCTTCCAGTCAATTTTCACTTGTCTTTCCCAGTGTCCTACTGAGTACCAGGAAAGAATGGGTAGGAATATGGATGATTATGAAGATTTTGATGAAAGACAGAACAGTTATCCAACTGAAAAAAGTTTGGTCAAACTTCACAAGCAGGTATATTAATAAATGAGAGAATGCCTCACTTATGCTACCATAATGAGAATAAATGCTAGTCAAACAAAAATTTTCAATGCACTTTACCTGAATTGCTGAGTACAGTGGGTTTTGAGCTTAACAAAAGCTTTTCTCAGTGAAAATATAGAAGTTTAATATCCCTAGTAATGTCCAGATCAAATTTCTGCATGTATAAAAAAATGTTCTCACTCCATTATATCTTGACATTGTTTTAACTGTGGGTAAGCTTTGTAATGATTGATTGACAGCACATTCTAAAGAAGAAATTGTAGTATAAGATTGATATTTGCTAAGATGCAGAAAATAAAATGGTATGCTGGAAAAAGTAGGCTGTCATTGCTACAGATGGATTGTGATGAAAGTGTTACCATAAAAGTCAGTTATAGGAACTCTCTAAGACTCAATTTGGAGTTTTAGAAAGCAGGCATTGTTTATTGCAGTGCAGGGCTCACATGCAAATCATTTTGCAAATGTGAGTGCACCCGTTACTTGCCAGTAGCAGTTATATATTTAGCATATTCATGCATATTTACAGAGTTTCCAGGAAATAATTATAATATTTGCATCCTAATTAAGCATGCTCTTTGTTGCTTGGTGGGGGTCTGGTGGTCACTGATAGTCTTCCTTACTGTGTTTATTGAATGACCTCAGTGCTTGTGCACACTCACAAAGCTCTACTGATGAGTTAGCAGTTGGTATGTCCTTGCTTCTGTTTTGTTTCAGTCTCGCTTCACTGTGGGCGCCACTCTGCTATCTTCAAGGCTAGCATCCTTGGTCTTATTTACTGTCTCCTTAGTTGTTATCAGTCCTGTGATGTTCCTTCATGCATCAGCCGAACATTCCTTTCTGTCTACATGTTAGTAAGTTAGAACAGTTTGGTCTGTTCTACTATGTTAAAGGCACACACAATATTATTAGTGTAAGCCTACAAAAGAACTTCAAAACACAGGAATCATGTAGATAGTCCTTTTATGATTTATGTATTTAGATAATTAATTACTGGCTTTTGTTAATATACAGAAGTAATCTTTGCAATCCTGCAAAATACACATCTGTAAGGGATTTTGCAAGGCTTTTCTCACATTTCTTGAAACAAGTATGTTGTAACCATAATTTCTTGGAATTTGTTGTAGGTAATCTATTCAGTACAGAGACATCGTCGTACACAGGTCCAGTGGCAAATTCTTTTAGAACAAGCGTTTTACCTAGAAGATGTGGCAAAAAATGAAACCAGTGCAACTCGACAGTTTGTTCATACCTTTCATTCCCAGGAACCAGAGAACAAAATCATTCAGTATTTCTACACACCAACTGTTGGTAGGTGCTGTAATGCAGATTTTGAATATGCAAAGGAGTAACTGGTACTGTTCCATAAGAAGAATTTATTTTTTTAATGTAAAAGGTTCAGTTACAGTAGAGGGAAACAAATATGCATCTTAATGCATTTCTGTAATGGAATACACTTCAGTTACTGATCATTGGATCATAGAATAGTCAGGGTTGGAAAGGACCTTAAGATCATCAAGTTCCAACCCCCCTGCCATGGGCAGGGTCACCTCACACTAAACCATATAACCCAAGGCTCTGTTCAGCCTGGCCTTGAGCAAAGTCAGGGATGGAGCATTCACAATTTCCTTGGGCAGCCCATTCCAGTGCCTCACCACCCTCACAGTAAAGAACTTCCTGCTTATATCCAATATAAATTTCCCCTGTTCAAGTTTTAAGCTCTTCCCCCTTGTCCTATCACTACAGTGCCTAATGAAGGGTCCCTCCCCAGCATCTGTATAGCCGCACTTCAGATACTGGCATGCTGCTATGCGATCTCCATGCAGCCTTCTCTTCTCCAGGCTGAAGAGCCCCAACTTTCTCAGCCTGCCTTCATACAGGAGGTGCTCCAGTCCCCTGATCATCCTCGTGGCCCTTCTCTGGACTTGTTCCAACAGTTCCATGTCCTTTTTATGTTGAGGACCCCAGAACTGCACACAATACTCCAGGTGAGGTCTCACGAGAGCAGAGTAGAAGGGCAGGATCACCTCCTTCAACCTGATGGCTCCTTTTGATGCAGTGCAGGGCACGGTTGGCTTTCTGGTCTGCAAGCTCACACTGAAGCCAGCTCATGTTAATTTTCTCATTGACCAACACCCCCAAGTCCTTCTCTGCAGGGCTGCTCTGAATCTCTTCTCTGCCCAACCTGTAGCTGTTCTGGGATTGCTCTGACCCAGGTGTAGGACCTTGCACTTGCCATGGTTAAACTTCATAAGGTTGGCATCAGCCCACCTCACAAGCGTGTCAAGGTCCCTCTGGATGGCATTCCTTCCCTCCAGCGTATCAACCGAACCACACAGCTTGGTGTCATCGGCAAACTTGCTGGGGGCGCACTCAATCCCACTGTCCATGTCAGTGACAAAGATGTTGAACGAGACTGGTCCCAACACCGATCCCTGAGGGACACCACTCGTTACTGGTCTCCAGCTGGACATTGAGACATTGATCACAACTCTTTGCATGCAGCCATCCAGCCAGTTCTTTATCCACCGAGTGGTCCACCCATCAAATTGATGTCTCTCCAATTTAGAGACAAGGATGGCGTGTGGGACAGTGTCGAATGCTTTGCATGAGACCATGTAGATAACGTCAACTGCTCTGCCCCTGTCCATCAGTTCCGTACCCCCACCATAGAAGGCCACCAAATAGGTCAGGGAGAATTTCCCCGTAGTGAAGCCATGCTGGCTGTCACCAAGCACCTCGTTGATTTTCATGTGCCTTAGCATGCCTTCCAGGAGAATCTGCTCCAGGATTTTGCCAGGCACAGAGGTGAGACTGACTGGTCTGTAGTTCCCTGGGTCATCCATTTTCTCCTTCCTGAAAATGGGGGTTATATTTCCCTTTTTCCAGTTGTCGGGAACTTCACCTGGCTGCCATGATTTTTAAATGAAATGGCCAGTGGCTTAGCAACTTCATTTGCCAGCTCCTTCAGGGTCCGCAGGTGGGTTTCATCAGGTCCCATGGACTTGTGCACATTCAGGTTCTTAAGATGGTCTCAAACCAGATCCTCTCCTACAGTGGGCCTAAGGTCTTCATTCTCACAGTCCCTGCGTCTGCTTTCCAAGACTTGGGTGGTGTGGTCAGAGCATTTGCCAGTGCAGACCGAGACAGAGAAGTTACTGAGAACCTCAGCCTTCTCCAAATCCAGGGTCACCAGTTCTCCTGATAGCTCCTGGAGCAGGCCCACGTTGTCCCTAGTCTGTCTTTTATTCACAATGTACCTATAGAATTCCTTCCTGTTGTCTTTCACGTCCCTAGCCAAGTTTAATTCTAACTGGGCCTTAGCTTTCCTAACCTGGTTCCTAGCTTCCCAGACAACATCCCTGTATTCTTCCCAGGCTGCCTGTCCTTGCTTCCACCTTTTATAAACCTCTTTTTTCCTTCTAAGTTTCCTCAGCAACTCCTTATCCATCCAAGGAGGTCTCCTGGCCCTCCTGCTGCTCTTCCTTCTAGTCAGGATGCAACACTCCTGAGCTTGTAGCTGGTGATCCTGGAATATCAGACAACAGTCTTGGCCCCGCTGCCCTCTAGGGCTATATCCCATGGAACCTTACTAAGCAGGTTCCTGAAGAGGCCAAAGTCTGCTCTCTTGAAGTCCAGAGTTTGCTGCATGCTCTTCTCACTGTCCTGAGGATCTCGAATTTGACCATCTCAGGATCGCTGCATCCAAGGCTGCCCTGGAGTGTCACATTTCCAACTAGTCCTTCCCTGTTGGTGAGCACAAGGTCAAGCATGGCACCTCTCCTTGTTGGCTCCTCTGTTACTTGCAGAAGGAAGGTGTCTTCTGCACAATCAAAGAACCTCCCGGATTGCTTGTGCCAGGCAGTACTGTCCCTCCAACAGATATTAGGGTGGTTGAAGTCCCCCAGGAGAACAAGGGCCTGCAAGTGTGAGGCTGCTCCTATCTGTCTGTAGAGCGCTTCATCCACAGAGTCCTCTTGATCAGGCGGTCTGTAACAGATCCCCACAGTAATGTCCCCCATAGCTGTTCTCCCTTTGACCCTGACCCACAAACTTTGTTAGCTGCTTATTGGCTGGAGCAGCTGAACTATCTCTACATCGCTCCAAGCATTTATTATAGGTGCTGGCAACTGACTGGGTGTGTTGGGATGGAATGATGCCCCCATCCCCCAACACATCTAGTTTAAAGCTTTCTTGACTAGCCTGGCAAGCCTCTTACCAAAACACAGCTTCACCAGCCTCTGGTAGACCTGGCCTCTCAAATCGAGTCCCATGTTCTAAATACCCAAACCCCTGACTATGGCACCATTGTTCTAACCAGTTATTAACCTGCCAAATCCACCTAGCCTTTTTAAGGTCCTCCCCTTTATCCTGGGGAAATGATGAAAAGACTGTCTGAGCTCCAGAGCCCCTAACCATCTCTCCCAGGGCTCTGTAGTCCTTAGTGTTCTCCAGACTACTGTTATGTGTATCTCTAGCACCCACATGGACTACTAGAAATGAAGTCAGTGGGACTTACTAGACCAGGCAACCTCTCTGCAACATAAATATTGTTTATATATATATATATTATATGTATACATATGTATATATATAGAATCTAAACTTAAAAGCAGTTGCATGTTGTAATAGAAAACTTTGAAGCCTTAGAAGAAAGAAAACAAATTATTAAGTTAGCAGATGAAATTACTGTATCACAGATACCTTCTGCATTTGTGGAACATTACTGAGATGGCACCACTCTTCTGGTAAAGCAAAGAGGAAAAGATTCTCTGTCTGTCATGTACTGAACATAAGGAGATGTAGCTGCTTGTTCATCTTTTCAGAAGGTGCCTTTTCCCATGTTTTAACTTCTAATTTGTTGTGCAGTAGTAATGGGTTATTTCCCGGGTAGAACAGCATCATTTTAGAGCCTAAGTTTTGTTTCCAAGAGAGTAACAGACGAACAAACAAAAAGTGGATCACTTGTAGTATCTGTGCCAAACGTGAAGAGTTCTGTTCTGCACACCCCACTCTCCCCAGTCCATTTGCAAAATTTGCCTCCCAGATTCCACCCTGTTTTCTCCTGTTTTCCATATGATTATTTAGAGCTGAGCCAGATCTCTAGGCTTTGGAAGACCCCTAAAATTAAGTGTGTGACCCCGTAGATTCTGGTCTTCATTTTAAAGGTGTGTGTCCAAGAAGTTTGTGACTTTTTTTTGTGAGGGAGTTCAATTTCTGGTTGTGTAATTTTCATTAACCCTTTCCAGTTGTATGTATGTTTTTTTTTTCCAGAGTGGTACTGGGAATGCCTTCTACGACCATGGTTTTATAGGGTGCTTGCTGTTGTTCTGGCCACATTCTCTGTCGTTGTTGTGTGGTCAGAGTGCACCTTTTTCAGCACAAAACCAGTTTTATCACTGTTTGCAGTTTTCATACAGCTGGCAGAAAAGACATATAATTATATATACATAGAGGTAAGTTTGAAATAATCAGTCAATAAAAATCTTTCAGGTAATTTGTTACCACAACATTAGACCAGATTTATTTAAAAGTAAGCCTCTAAATAATCTGTCAACTCTCAGAAGGTCTCTAAAACATGTAACACCATTGTTTCTGTGGAGTGAGTCAGCCTTTTGCCACTTTCTTAAAACTCTCAATGCAGGATGAGTGTGTGACCCAGTTGAGCTGAATGTCATGTGTGGAATAATCTGTGAAACCTTAACTTGAAGTTTGTGTTTAATCAGCCATGTGCGACCTGTCTTTCCTAACCAGGAATTTGCTGCTGACCAGAAATACAGCCTCAGGTGTAGCTAGCATACACATGTACAAATTTATCAGTAAAGGAACTGAGCTGAAAAATTCCAGTATACTAACAAAATAGGTTGCATCGAAAACACTCATTTTTATCCCTTTTTGTGGGAAGAAATGCTAAATTATCATAGTAATTATCAAGGTAATTACAGCAATTTCATTTACGTAACAAGAAGTAGAATTAATACTCCTAGGGTCAGTTATCATTATATGAAATGCAGGATGTTAAAGTATAATTCTTAATTGGTGAAAAAAACTCCTGAAGTTTCTTAGAGCAGGTGAGAGCTGGTGTTGCTGTCCCATCTCAAAATAAAAAATTAGACTGCAGTCAACTTATTGCCTGCACAGACTGTGTGCTGAATGCAGTAAAACCTTTAGTAGAGTTCTACATTCAAGTGACTTTTATATTTTTTTTCACAGATGGCCTGTTTTCTTACCATCTTTTTCTTAAGTATCTGTGTTTACTCTACTGTCTTCAGGATCCGTGTATTTAACTATTACTACTTATCTTCACATCATCAGACAGATGCGTACAGTCTCCTTTTCAGTGGCATGTGAGTATGTGGTATATATTTTGCAGATTTTCTGTCAGATACTCAATTGAAGGTGTCCATGAAAGTTTCATTTATATTCTTTCATTTAGAAACATACAGGTATATTCTGTGAAATACCAAGTTACAATTTGTGAATATCATTAGTCCAATAAATTGTTTTAAATGCTGTTGCTTCTTGTATTTGTGCAGGTTATTTTGCCGTCTTACTCCACCATTATGCTTGAACTTTTTGGGCTTGACCCACATGGATGCAATAATCTCTCACAAAAATACTCAGCCAACTGCTTATACATCTGTAAGTACAGAAAATGTGGGTTTGAGCCATCTATATGATTTGGAAAATAGGCACAATATTTTAAAATATTTCTTATATTAAGATTCGGATATTAAAATATTTTCATTACTATTACACAGGTAGACATAGTTACTTATAGTTCAGTAATGATTGCTAGGAGTCATCAATAGTGCAGTTTTTCTGTTTAGGTCTCTTTATCCTAAGAAAGTAAAGTGTTACTGTGAAGAGTTCAGACTGTTCTTCACTTCTTCAGAGCTTTAGCTTCCTCTGTTTTTAGCATATGGGGCATTTTTATAGACTAGGAGTAAACCTAACTTGCCACTAAAAAACAGTGAATTTGGGATAACTGAACCACAGTTTCCGCAGGACAGCAGGTTACATCTCACATCTTTGTTGTTAGCAAGTGGATTCTTAAGTGTTGCCCAGAGATGCCTTTCGCAGCAGATGAAAAAAGATCCACCAGATTTGAACTGGTCCTGGATTAGGTGAGACAAGATCAAGCATCTTGGAAACCTCGAAGTGGATACACTGCTAGAGGCAGCCTTTATATCTGCTTATTCTGGGTCAAGTGTCTGAAGCAGATCTGTGATAATGATATTGACTGATTTTCAGTAAATGTAAAGGATTCTGTGTTTGTGTGTTGTGGACTGAAAACAGTAAGATGGGACAATCTTTATGGATATATGTAGAAAATACTTGATTATAGCTTGGTTTTGGAATTCTTTTTCCAGATAATGGGATCCATGAGAGTACTATCCTTCATTGCAGATGGATTTTATATATATTACCCAATGCTTGTTGTCATTCTCTGTATTGCCACATACTTCAGGTAAGTGATATGCAAGACAGATCCTCTGTGTTTCTTTACATGAATAATATTAGTTTCAGTGATCATTCTCTTGAGATGAATATCGTGAGATATTCTCTTCTCCTTTTCCAGCAGATGAGTTATGAAATAATAACAAAAATGCAAAACCTAAACCAATACCTAGCTGTTTATATATGTGAAATGTACACATTTCAAGAATATTCATTATATTAACTCATAACTGAGTTGTGGAGGCTTTTTCCCCATTAAACTTCATTCCTAGATTTTGAGGTCAGATCTGTTCAAACTTTGGAGCCTGCTTAGATTCTGCTTTTGAGATTAAAATTACCATGAGGAAACTGTTTTCAGCAAGGTTTTCTAATATGTTAAGAAGCATTAGCTGAAACTGTAGTTAATAAACTTTCTAATTGGTACAATGATTTTGTGATCCATACCAGACTTCAGTTTGAAAATATAGTGGTTTAAATCGTTTGATATTGTTTCCCTAAGGCACAATTTCTTGGCAGCTGTAAGGGTAGTTACAGAAAATACTGCTATATATATTATATGCTTGCTTTATCTTACATTTCAAAATGTTTGCTTTTGAGCTCTGTAATGGTTGAGATACTGTAGGTTTGCCCAGCTACGTTTATGTTCGCTTCCTTTATTTTGCATGACTCATCTACATTGTAGTAAAACACCTTGGTCTGTCCATAAAAACCTACGTACATCCATATATAATAAGACAACAAGGATCCTGTCCTTATTTTTGCATGCTTACTTTTAGGTTAGGGTACAAAAATGGTGGTGGAGGGGAAAAAAAAAACAACAAGCAAAAAAGCCCCCCAAAAAACAGTGAAGCCAACAAGAAGAAAATAATTTGTGTGACTTGTTGTCTGTGACCCTGGGTCTTGAATGCCATAGTGAAAAGGAAGAGAAGAAACTGAGGAGAGGAGCTTGCTTTGCGAGGACTTTGCTGCCCTCTAATAATTCAGATGCATGTAAAACACTAGATAAAATCTATCACGGAAAGCTGTTTAATGCAGCAGTCTTAAAGTTCAGATAGTATAGGCAAAAAAAGCTTTTCAGCGTAAATATACAATGAAGCCAACTTTGAACATGATATTGATACACCAGTTTAGAGAAAAACAGCAACAAAAACAGCAGGTGTGTTCTCAAGTGTGAAGCTGAAAAGGTGAAAGTGGTTTAATGCTGTCTAATTCAAGGACTAGGTTAAAAAAAGTGGAGCAAGCTTTTTATCTGACTGCTGCCTAATGTGTATTCAGCCAGCATCCCTGAAGTGTAAGAATATGCCATGTTTCTCCCGAGTGAAACCTGAGATGAAGGTGGCTTTCCTGTTACTACTATTTCAAAACCACAGATATCTTAATAGGCGGAATATTTTGTAGTAATTGTCTTCTGACAAAGAAGAGTCAATGAGATATCATGGGTATAAATTTTGTTATATGTGAGAACATTTCAAGCAATTGTCTTAAATCACTACTCTCAAGACTATAGACAGTGTTATTCTCAATTTGAATTAGGAGTATTCCATTACTTTCAGTTGGATATGCGAACATGTCACTGTTGTGAATTTTCTGATTTTTCAGTATAATAATGTGTCTTCTATGTTGCTTTATTCTTGAATTGTCCATAAATTTCTGAGTAATTTGTTTCACATTTTGCATTGTAATACCTCTATTCATTGTAAGTTAACAAACAAAATTGCTTCTCCGGCTTTACCAGTTTAGGAACTCGTTGTTTGAATCTTTTGGGATTTCAGCAGTTCATGGGGGATAATGAAATGACCTCTGATTTGATTGATGAAGGGAAAGAGCTAATCAGAAGAGGTAAGTTGGGTCGTCTATCCTAGTATTCCTATGAAGTACACTATGTCATGAGCTGCCCAAACTCTGTTGTCTCCTTTACAGTTTTTTGCTGCTTCACCTAACTGTGTTTTATCACAGAAAACATGTTGTTCTGTAGAGCTGTAATTATCTGCTGGCTTTGAAAGATTTTTATTTTTTAATGTAATTCTTATTGAAAGTATTTTGTGAAAGTTGTTAAAAGCTATGTTTAGAAATTAAAATCTTTGGATACAATTTTATATTGTGAAATAATTTTAGACCTCTTTCACAGTTATTAAAAAAGCCTAGATTTTCTTAGAGTAGGTTTCTTTGTGGATTTGGGTTTGGTTTTATTTTTTTCTTTTTGAGAGAGATGCATGTCTCTCCTTCCCTTAAACAAGAGATTACTATCCTTTGATGCTGAGATGTTACATTTACAGCTGTATAGTAGATACAGACACAAACTATTTGGGTAATACTTTGGGCCTCCCAGAACTTCAGCAAGATTTTAATTTGATAATGCTCAAGTTTGTTCTTAACATCATACTTTTTCCAACTACTTTTTTTTTGTTAGCTAGTACCCACGTCATGCCTTGACCCAAGATACCATCACGATTAATTAATTCCAACAAGAAACTCCATAATGATAGACAAGCAGCTTTGTCTTTTGTTTTCATTTAATTGTATGAGCTATTTATTTCTATGTAAGTAGGAATCTTAGCAAGTTAACTTTGGGTTTTCACTGTTGGTTAAAAAATATTGGTAATGTTTTTTCTTGTATGGAGCTCAGCTGGTTCTTTTTTTTTTCTTTTATAGAGAAAAGAAAACGTCAAAGGCAGGAAGAAGGTGAAAACAGAAGAAGGGTATGAGATTGTTTTAGCTAATTACAATATTAATATACTGCAATATCTGATAGGATTCGCCATTGCTATTTAATTCAGCATGTTCTATTTCACAAAAATGTAAGTCCCCAGTAATTGATGGAATCAGTTTAATCTTGGAGAGTAGTCTTGGCTAGGAATTGGGGGGAATAATTTACATTTTAGTTTTAAAGGGTAAGAGAGAGACTCTGGTCACACTACTTGGTCACTTTTGTTACTGTGCTGTGAGAGCAGTGTATGCCAATAGGTATAATAAGCATTAAAAACAATCCTGATTGCTAGGATGCAAAATAATCTGAAATGGCTTATTATCAGTCTCTTATGTTGATACTGCTCTGCTTGAAATAACTGCAGTTGCACTGTCATCGTGTTCACTGAAATAGGGACTCTATACTCCTCCCAAATGTACGTGTTGCTTTGTATGCCCTTTGGAAAGTAATTGACACAGATTTTTGTTTGTTTGCTTGTTTTCAGAGGAGGGAATTACATTTAAGACAAAATTAATACTTTTATCACTGGGTAACAAACAGAATGTTTGATTCAGATCAGACTTTCGGTGCATAATGAGTTGAAAAATCTATGAAAGCGGTCAATCTGGATAGAAATAATTCAGGCAGCTTCATTTTAAGGGGCATCAGTTAACTGTGGCTTTAGTTTTCCATTTGTTTATAACATTTGGAATTTAGTATAGAAAGTCATGAAGAGATAAATCAGAAGATGCATGTAAAAAATGAATGGACTAAAGGAAGGGAAAAAATGTTATCTGCAGAAAGGTAGGATAATACTGGGACTAAAACCTCTTGGCTTTTCAAGCTCAGGAATACTTTAATTCTGGATGACAGCGAGTACAACCAGGACAGACAGGCCTTTCTTCTGATCCTCTTCCCATCTCATAACTTTAGAACTTGAGCATACTGTTAAATAAAATAGTAGCAAAGGCATGCTGCATTTAGTATACACTGAAATGATCTGACATTAATAAACAATTCTGGTTCAACAGCAGACTCAGTTTCAGATGTTACCTGTTTTTTGAGTTTACATTAAATACTGTAGTGCTTTAATTCTTGAAACTCTTTGGGCTTTTGAGAGTATTATCTTTTACTGGATCATGATTAAATGTTTGATCCTTCTGCATCTTAGAACTAACATGGCATAAATTAGCACAAGAAACTTCGAGTATAGAGTTCTTACCAGCCCATAATCTGGGATCTAGATATGAAACTGAAAGTTACTGGAGCAATTTTCTGGAAAAGTTGCTTTGGAGGAAAAGTTTCTGTTGAGACATGAAGTTGTTTCCTAATAAAAGTATGAGATGTCTTGTTCTTTAATATTTCATTACACTTGATACTAAAATGTTTTCATACTAAAACATGATGGAATGGAAACACAACAGAACAAGAAGCAAAGTAAACATGGCTTGTCCAAATATTTTTGTGCTATCTGCTTCTGTTTATTTTTCCATTCTACCACTAGATGGAAGTAGAACTTAAAAAAAGCAACCTTCCCACCATAATTTGGAGCAGTGTAGTGAACTTTGAATGCAGATTTAATATGTAGTTTGTTTTCTGCGAGCCTTTTTTCTAAAGAACTTTACAGTAACTGGTTTAGTGAAGGGATTTATTGAGTTTAAAATACATACCAAAATTCTTCCTGTATAAAGATACTGAACAGGAACACTTTTAAAGTGTTGCTTTCATAGGATGATGTAATTGACCAATTAGCTCTACATTGCAGATCTGGAATATGTCTTGATTCTCCATAGGCTTTTGTTATGTTGCTTTTTCCTCACCACTTACATTTCCTTATTTTATCTTTTTTCCCAGGAGTGGAAAGAGCGATATGGAAATAGAGATGATTCCGCTAGAAACAGAGTTGTCCACACAGACCAAAAAGAATCCAGTTTCTCAGAGGCCAATGCCAATAGACGTAAGCTTTATGGAGTTTGTGGGGAGTTTGATTTGTTTTTTTATTCTAATGTCTTGCCTGCACCACGCTGGCTGTGTGAGTAGCTTCAAATACATTCATTTTTGTCTTAGTTGATGTGCTAATATATTCCTTTCTTTGGCACAGTGCCATCTTGCCCGTTAAAGCCACCTGAAAAGAGTACTGTGTTTCTTCCCATCTTCTGTACTCTCTCTAGTTGAGGTTGGAGATTCTGGCTAGTTTCAACACCTTGGTCTTCTTATGGGACATATAATGGCCACAATGAGAGTAGCAGTTGTCAACAAAGAGGTTATATTTAGGGCATATCTTGAAGTTTGCAATTTTAAATATTAAATTTACCTCTTGTAGTTGCGAAGTAACTCTTCAGATGGGTATAATTAAATTATCAGATAGATGGCCAATGAATGTGAAATCAATAACATATCACATGAGTGTATACGTACTCATCTAATAATGTCTGTTAGCACAAAACATTTGTGGATGCTCCATACTTCCAAACAGTTTATTTGTCACAGTCTTAATGTTTTTTTTATGTACTTTATGTGCCTTTTGTAAGCTAATGACAAATAAGAAATGAAATTTAAAAAAAAAGAAGGGAAAAGGTGAGGGAGAAGGCAAGCTCTGAACATGCTTTTGCAACAAATCTGGTAGATTTCTCCTCCTCTTTACAGAGTTGCAAACTCATATTCTCAAAGGTAGCCTAACTGTGAGATTATATTAAATTATTAGTATATTCTATACTTTAATGTAACTAAAGGAACATGTGGCATTTCAATTCTGAAACAAGCTGTAGGTACTGGCCTAATGAAAGTGGCAGAGTGACCTGCAAAACCACTGTACTTCATTAGTTCATAAGATTGCCTCTTTAAAAACAAGCAAAACAAAAAAAAAACCCAACCCTTCAGCCATCGTAATTAAAGTGGGAGATTGGGGAGATGAATGGTTGATTGTTCATCCATCTAATTTAAAAGTAAAGTTTGCATATAACTTTTTTTTCATTCTTATAGAATCATAGAATAGCTAAGGTTGGAAAACACCTTAAGATCATCTAGTTCCAACCCCCCTGCGATGGGCAGAGACACCTCACACTAAACCATGTCACCCAAGGCTCTGTCCAATGTGGCCTTGAACACTGCCAGGGATGGAGCATTCACAACTTCCCTGGGCAACCCATTCCAGTACCTCAGCACCTTCACAGTAAAGAACTTCATCCTTATATCCAATCTAAACTTCCCCTGGTTAAGATTTAACCCATTACCCCTTGTCCTATCACTACAGTCCCTGATGAAGAGTACCTCTTCAGCATTGCTGTAGCCCCCATTCAGATACTGGAAGGCTGCTATGAGGTCTCCATGCAGCCTTCTCTTCTCCAGGCCGAGCAGCCTCAACTTCCTCAGCCTGTCTTCATACAGGAGGTGCTCCAGTCCCCTGATCATCCTCGTGGCCTTCCTCTGGACTTGTTCCAACAGTTCCATGCCCTTTTTATGTTGAGGACACCAGAACTGCACACGATACTCCAAGTGAGGTCTCACAAGAGCAGAGTAAGAGGGCAGGATCACCTCCTTTGACCTGCTGGTTGTGCTGCATTTGATGCAGCACAGGATACAGTTGGTTTTCTGGGCTGCAAGTGCACACTGCCAGCTCATGTTCATTTTTTCATCGAGGAACACCCCCAAGTCCTCTGCAGGGCTGCTCTGAATCTCTTCTCTGCCCAACCTGTAGCTGTTCCTGGGATTGCTCTGACCCAGGTGTAGGACCTTCCACTTGGCATAGTTAAACTTCATGAGGTTGGCATCAGCCCATTCTTTGCAAAGTAGATCTCATCTTACTTGAGGGGCAAATGATAATTGTAGTTTCTATGGACATGCAAAAATTAATTTGAATACAATGAATTTGAGCATGTAGTTGGTTAGTTTAATATCTAATTTCTCTAAATCATCATAGCTAAACTTTGGATGACTTAGTAGCAATTTATTATTCTGGTATTTAAAGTTTGATGATTTCACATTCTCCAAGGTGTTCATAAAGCAAATGAGTGTCTTTCCTTCCTTTTACCTATTCAGCTCTGTCAAAGTATACCCGATCAAATGGCAGGACTGAAAGAGATAGAATAGAACTTCTTCAGGATGCAGAACCTTTGGATTTTAATGCAGATTCAATTAATGATGACCCTCTTGAATCGGACTCTGGAAGGTGACGGTCTTCTGTCTTTATTTACAATGTATTCTGATTTACGACGCCTGTATCAGATGGCTTCCTAGTAGGTTTTGTAAACAAAAATTACCACTTTACCTGGCTCTTTTCCTTTCTTCCTTCTCCCCCATGATACGGTAATTGTTTTAAAACCAGTTGAAACCCGAAGCCTTTTCATTTTTTTTTAGAAATGTCTTAGTAGAATTTGAGTTAAGTATAATTTTATATGTCAGCATAATCTGAAAAGGCTGCATATATGCATATACTGCATATAAAAACAGAAACCTGGAGAATGACCTGCATGATGTAAGGTTTTCTCTAATTTCCTAGAAGACTTTAGAAAGTTTATTTGATTTCCATGTATAAAAATCATCATAGAGGGCTGCAAGAAAGAAAACTGCATATTAAAAGACCATTAGTTTCAGTAATACACCTGGGGATCAGATCTTGGAATGACTGGACTAATAAATTAAATCTGAAATTACTGAACAGAAAGTTCCCAGCTGAACAGTGTAGCTCTGTCTGTAATAGAGAATTCTGTGATTCTGTGGTGGTGGCTGCAACAGCAGATTTCCTTAGTCATGCTATAGAGTATTTTTCATGACTGCTGGGCTCTGCTCGTATTTAAGAAACAAATAATACATTTTATGGGTGCTTTTTTATCTAGGTAGTTATGATGTAGAATCATTTAATGATAAATAATTTTAAATTCCTATATAAAAGTTACAGTTTACATTATTTTTTAGCTAAAACTAGCATGCCGAGTCCAATTAAAAAAATCATGAATGGTTACAGTTGACTCATATTTACAATGTCAAAAAATAAATGCCAAAATCACGCTATTGAATGACAATGCCAGTTTTTCAGATCATGTCAGCAATGTTAGTTTACATCAACAACTAACTTGTCTAGTCCAGTGTCGCCACATTTCAAAAGCTGGCTCTTTTTAAGCACAAGAATTCAAAGAAGATGTAGCCTAACATTTTTGTCAGTTGTTGATTTCCGGACGGTGTGAAAGGGATAATAGTCTACAAAAATAGCAATATACATATATAATTCTTTTGGAGCAAATACTTTTCAGGTACAGTATCTGAAGTCTTCTGGCACCTATACAGATTTTGTAGAGTGGAACATTCTGAACTTTTTTTTTTTTTTTTAAAGAAAATCTGGAGCCACAGAGCTTAGTTGTGTTCTTTTTTAGTAACCTGCATTGATTTCATAGAAGTAATAAATCAAAAATAATCGTATATGACATTTCATTTCACTTAAAAATACCTCATTATAGTAACATTGATTTTTTTATTTTATTTTTTTTTTAAACTATAACTTCTGTGGTAGTTACAAGTGTTCTAGGACAGTAAGAGCTTTAGGAACACTAGGTTCTGGCATGAAGTCTATTCAGGTTTTGGGAAATACTGCAGAGAGGAAGTACATTGTGCTTTCACTGAGACTTGTATGTGCTTTTAAAATGCTTTTAAAATAGATTTGACCAACAATTTGTGAGGCTTTTTTCCCACTAAGAGTGCAGCTATTTGTTCTCATTATCTTTGAAACTCTTATTTCTCCTAGGAATACCCACTGGGATGTACTGTTAATCATCCAAACTACTTTTGGATGCTGTTGTTTGGTTTGGGGTTTTTGTTTGTTTGGAATTTTACTGTCACTTGGTTGGGTTTTTTGTTTGTTTGGGTTTTGATGATTTGGGGGGGGGGGGGGGGGGTGTTTTGGGGGGTTTGGTAGGTTTTGTTGGGTTTTAGTTTTTGTTTTGTTTGTTTTGGGGGTTTGTTGGTTTGGTTTGGTTTGTTTTTTTTAGGAAAAAGTTCTATTCAATAAAAACATTCAACTTCTTTTCTTTGTATGAGGAAACGAAGTTCTTTAAGACTCCCAGTATTCATATCACTGCTTTTTTTGGTCACGAGATCTAATTTAATGACTGCCTATGAAATTCTCATGGAAACAGTAATTCAGTAGAGCTTCAGATCATGTAATTCATTGAGAGTGAAGGAGTAAGAGTTCAGTGAGTTACATGATTTCTTGGGTCTTTATTTTTCTATTTCCCTTGATACTTTTTCATATTTAAAATTGATTCTGCAGGTACCAGCCTGGTGGAAGATACCTGTCGATGTCTCGGAGCAAAATATTTGATGATGTCTAAACTCCTCAAAGCTAAAGGAAAATTCAGTGGAAATCTATTCCCGCTCATTGCTTGGAAAATACTGTATTTATGATATATCACTGAACCAGAGAAGATAATATTTCTTTAGAATATGAATATGAAGGAACAACTATTTTGGAAATGCACCTGTATATGACAAGAATATGCTTCTTCTATTGTAGATATTGTTGTCCATCAGTGTGGGTTTTTGTGTCATGACCAAAAGGAGAAAAAATTAATAGAGTGTAAACTTCATAAATATACCTGGGGCTCAACTTGCTGTAACATTTTAAGTTTTAGGAAAAGGATTTTTTGGAAGGAATCTTTTTGTATTTTAACAGGTGCTGTGAGAGCATTTTAATGCATCCAAAGTGCAGTTTTGTCAATTACTATAATAAACACTTTCTATATTTTTTCTATTATAACTTAATGCCTAGTCCAAAATCTACTGAATGAAATTAAGGCTTCTTTGGGTTTCAGTGGTCTTTGAATAATAGAATCATAGAATCAACTAGGTTGGAAAAGACCTTTTAAGATCATCAAGTCCAACCATTACCCAGGACCGCCAAGACTGCCACTATACTGTGTCACTGAGGGCCTCATCTACGTGGTTTTTGAACACCTCAGCTTTCCTGGGCAGCCTGTTCCGATGGCTGATTACCCACACTGTGAAGAATTTTTTCCCAATATCCAATCTAAACCTCCCCTGGTGCAGCTTGAGACCATTTCCTCTTGTCCTACCACTTGTTACTTGGGAGAAGAGACTGACCTCCACCTCACTACAACCTCCTTTCAGGTAGCTGTAGAGAGGGATAAGATTGCCCCTGAGCCTTCTCTTCTCCAGACTAAACCCCCACAGTTCCCTCAGCTGTTCCTCATCAAACTTGTGCTCCGGACCCTTCACCAGCTTTGTTGCCTTTCTCTGGACCCACTCCACCCCCTCAATGTTGCTCTTGTAGTAAGAGCCCCAGAACTGAACACAGGATTTGAGGTACAGCCCCATCAGTGCTGAGTTCAGGGATATGATCACTGCCCTGGTCCTGCTGCCCACACTGTTGCTGGTACAGACCAGGATGATGTTGGCCTTCTTGGCTGCCTGGGCACAAGCTGGCTCATGTTCAGCCGGCCATCAATCAGCACCCCCAGGTCATGTATCAGACCGTGTTTAAGCAGAAAGATTGAATGGCAGGCTGTCTTCACAAAGTCATAAACTACATGTTCCAGTATTTAAAGGGTGGCTGCAAAGAAGATGGGGATTCCCTTTCTACATGGAGTCACATGGAAAAGGTGAAGGTTATTGGGCACAGGTTGGGGAGAAAAAAAATATTTCACAGTGAGAACAGTCATTAGGGTCCCCTCCCCAGGGAAGTGGTGGATTCCCTCGCATGGGACACCTTTAAGATTTAGCCAGACAGGGTGTTGGGACCTTGTCTAGACTGTGTTTTGCCAGGAAAGGTGGGACCACATGATCCTTGCAGTCCCTTCCAACCTGGTATTTTATGATTCTCTGAAATTTGGTGGTATAAATTTTGAAGCAAGCTGTATTGGTCAAGAAAGGCTGTATTTTTTCTTTTCCAGCATTATATGCAGATAAATAATTTTAGCATGTGTAAATATTTGAAATCGATTGACCATAGTTTCACTGTCATATGAGCATATGTGCAATAGCGGGAATACATTATCAAAGATATAAATCTGATTTAAGATTTTTGCAGTTGTAATGGTTGAAAATCTTGGCACACTAGCATTTTTGTACCTGTAAAAGAAATATAATGTGAAAATTGATTTAAATGCTGAAACTATAATTTGCACACAACTTGGGCACGGCTTCAAATTGTAGCATATTCCTTTAAAAGAAGGGAAATACATAGCATGACCGGATAATGGTAAACACTTTTAATGTCCCAAATACCCTGGTTGCATTATGTATCTGTTTTTAAGGTGCCTGTGTTTTGCAGTAACTTGTTGCAAAAAGAACAATGCTTATTCATTTGAATGCCATTCAAAAATGCCAATTACTAACAGTGTAAAAAAAACTTCACATGAATTTCATTGGTGTAGATTTATTTTTAAAGTGTAGTTAGTTGAAAGAATTCTCAACTGTAATCATAAGGTAAAAGATGTGGTCAAATTCATTATATCTTTGGAAATTTGCTTTATTTAAAATGTTGTATTATTGCAGTTTGTCTTAAGTCTTTACCACTTGGGGATTTTCTGAAAAAAACTGAAAGAGAACATGTTTTCATTATAAGTTCTTTATCATGCTTAAAAAACAGACATCCCTTAAAACAGTTAGGAATGAGTTCTTGTGAAAAGAAATTTTTTATGAATGAGATGTTCTACTGATTTTTAAAAGTAGTCTTTGTTTCTGAAGTAATTGTTAATGGGGATCTAACTACCTCTTGTGATTTAGTAGATCATGTGTTCTAACAGTAGTGGTATGTGTAATATATTGTTTTGCCTGTTTTAAAACATTTAATTGTTATTATGAAGGAGAAAAAAATACTCTATTTGTATAGAAATACTTATATTAATAAATTAGCAGACATGAAGTAATCGTCAGTTCCTTTTTTAGGTGAATGCACTGAACGACAGCCATGTCCACATGTATTCAAGGGCATAATACAATTTCCAGATTACCTGTAAGAGGCACTTTCTTAGTTTTGGTATTTTTTTTACTGTAAAAGCTTGATCAAAATCTTAGGGTGGTATCAGGGACTTGTAGTTAAGAAAACAAGACTCTTTTTATTCAGATTGTTCTTTAGCAATTTTATGTTAGCACCTATTTAATTTAATTTAGATCTATTCTGAATTCAGCCTTATATGAAGGGGATTGTATATATTCATGGACTTTAATCCACATGAATGTTCTTAGACGTGATATTTCTATTTTTAAAACTTGTGTCTCATTTAATTGCCAAAAAATTTATTTGTAAAAAAAAATCTTTGGATGAAATAAGGTTCAGGTTCTTTGTTTAACTCTTGAAAATGTCACTACAAAGGGATCTAATTCAGTGCTAACTGAAAAATTATAGAAGGAATGTTTGTTATTCTGAGTTCTTGTGAAGTATCCTTACCTAGCCCCTGCTGACTTCAGAGAATTGGATCAGGCTTTCTTGGGCTTGGTTTGTTTGGGGTTTTTTCCCCTCTCAGAAATCAGTGGAATGGCTAAAAACAGAATTTTCAGTGGAAACTTGATATGGATTTTATACATGAAAGCTAACTAGTCCTCAGTGTAACCCCTCTGTGCAGTTTTCATTGGGATACGGTAATTTATGGAGTTGAGTGTGCAAGTTAATGGCAGTGGGATTTCAGTTGCTAACAGAATGGCTGAGTTTATTGAGGTGGGAATCCAGTGACCTTTTTTTGATGTTGCAGTGGAGTAATGGAGTTAACCAACGGCTGCTTTGAGCTCTGAAAGTCTCTCAAGAGTTCTCTGGATTGTGCTTGGAGATTTCTGTGGTAATGTGCTCCAAGGATATACTGGGTGTTTAAGTAAGGAGTTGATAGTTGCTGACCAACAGTTACTCTTGCCCTAATTATATGCAATTTTTAGGCAAATTAATCTGAAGTGTGTTTATAAAATTAGTTATGAGTTCCTATGAGTAAATTAGGAAGACTTCCAACAAAGAAATAGAGTACAGCTGTAAAAGAACACTGTAGAAATAAGGGATATGCCTGCACAGCATTTGCTGTGTGCTTGGGCTACTTTTAAACTAGCTTGATTACTGCTAGTACAAATAATGCAGAACATGGGGGCTGTGTGCAACTTGATGGGGCCCTGAGCAACCTGATCTTGTTGAAAATGTCCCTGCCCATGGTTGGAACTAGATAATCTTTAAAGGTCCCTTCTAACTCAAACCCTTCTATGATTCTGTGATGGTTCCCAGCCAGACTGTGGCAACTCTTGACAAATTCTTTGCTACTATAGCTCTAATCCTAACAGCGCCACAACTAAAATAATTTAAAACTAGCTTTGGTATGTTTGGCAGTGAATATACTGTAGGCTAATAGTGCTCTTGCATTGTATTTGATGTTCCAGATTAGGTGATTTAAAATGTAACTGCCTTGCAAACTGTACTTTAGGGAACTAAACATGTTGGCATATATATTATGTCAGTATATAGCTGTATTTATTTGCAGCTAAGGAATGTCACATCCTCTGTTTATTATTCCTCTTTTTGAATTATTGAGCAGTTAGGGTGTACTTACATTTCATCAAAATTCATTTGTGAGCACCAAAACCAAAATAAAACACCAAAAAGCCCACCAAAGTTAAGTGCAAGCACTTGAATATTTTCATGTCAAAGATTTAAACCAGTGAAAAGAATCCATGTGAGTTGTAATGAACTTTGAAAGGTGGGAATGAAAACAGTAGATACTTCAATACTGGGTCAGTGTTGGATTTCGTAAAAAGTACAGATAGCAAAAATCTCTAGTCAAATTTACTGCTCCTACTGAATTTGTAGTTCTTTCAGGCATTTAAAGATACAAATATCTGTATTGGGAAATGAGTCCTGTGCACTCTTCTTAAGAAAGGTGCATCCCTTAGCTGTGAAGTGAGGGAGTCTTTGAGTGAAGGATATGCAAATTCTAGTCTGTGCTAATAGTGACACTTTGGGCAAAATGTAATATATTTTTTTTATTTAGGTATGATAGCATGTTAAGAAACAACAAACTTTATACTGCTGTAACTTACACTACTGGAAAAAGCATGGTATATAATCTGCCTTTATTTTGCAATCAAGCACTTGTAAAATAGTCATTAACAGTATTAATGAAAGTGGCAGAAAGCTGCTATCTTTTCAGTATTTATTCTTGCTATTTAAAAACATAACCATGACAATAATTTTTATATATGAAGTATTTAAAAAGTGATTATTCTGATTTTCTGTAATTATCATGGGTTATATTTTGTTAAATTCATCTTCAAATACTTTAAATGTTACAGGAAAAATACAATATTTTCTTCAAATTATCATTATTTCTGTAATTACTTGCAATCTGGGGGGCATTTACAATACAAATAGAGATCCTTTATGGAGGAAAACTTACTATGGGGCTTCTTAAAGAAATCAGACCTATAATTACAGACAAATACATACATCTTAATTATTAACAAACATACTACTTAGGGTATATATATTGTCTCCAGCAAGTTTTCTTTAAAATTCAGAAAATTATTAAATTCTCTTTCAGAGCAATTTATTTGTGAATCTTGTAAACTTTCTGAAACTTTTACATTCCTCTTCCCTAATAGGCTCTGCAGGAGTATGTACTGCTTTATGGCAGTTCTGTAATACTAGCTGTGCCTCAAATTAAGTAGTCTAATCTGAAGCTGAGACACTCCTACACCATTTGATTACATTTACAGAAACTCAGCATTGCTAGCAAAAAAGCACCTTGAACTAGATCCCTTTCTAATACATTAAATGCTGTCATTGACTATATTGATTATATTTGGCATCTTCCATTTCAGTCATATAGTAAGCCCAATCAGGTTTATTCTTTGTTCTATTAAAATGCACTGGAATGTCTTCCTCAGCTTGCTTTTGTGTGAGTATGTGTTTTTTAGTTGTAATTGACAGGCAATAATAATATGGAACTTCAGTTATTTCTTAAGGATCATGTTATATTTGACATATTCCTGTGAGTTATAAGTTTCAGAGTGACAGCTTAGTTACCACTGTAGAAACTTAAGTATTTTTTATAGAAATAGCTTATATTTCTGTAGGGGTGTCTGGAAGACAAGGGAGTTCCTTTGTAAATATAGGTTTAGTGATAGAAGATACTCATTCTCCAGTGTGTGTTAATAAAGGCTGTAGGAGTGCAGTTTATGGATAGACTATCTTCATTTGCCTTATGATACACGTATGTATGCATAACACCTTGTTTTGAAATTCAAGTTATAATTTTTTCTCTGTAGTCTTCTAAATTATGGTTGTACTGGATACATTTTTGCAATGTGTGTTAAAATATCTAGTCAAAGAGTTGGCATGAAATAAATAATTTCTGCAATACATTTTCCCTGTTACATTTTAGATATTCATACTTCTCTGAAGTGTTTTTAATAGCAATCTTTTAAAGAGAAACTTGACGCATTTCTTTTTTCGAGGTAGTAGTTGACTTACTTTAGAAGATAATCCAGCCTTGGTTTAGTTGTCTTTTTGCATCTTCTATACAGCAGATTAAAAAGGGAAATCGAGAGGAACCTTGCATACCTGGACATGTCATTGTTGGAGTCTGGGGAAGCGAACTGGAGCTACTTTTCAGGCTGGTATCTTTACTGATGGCTTGACCCAGCTGCAGAAGCTCAAAGAACTTCTTCAAATGCAGGGATACAGAGAAGTGTAGCAAAGGCTAGCTGAAGATGTAAGCTTCCTGCAGTGCCTGGAGGAAGCATGTGAGGACTTTGCTCCTGGGGCTGATTGGGTACTTGGTATTTTCATGAAGCGTAATGTGGGATGGAAATAAGGGCTCCAAAATCTCTCCTTCTTTTCCATATGCAGTCAAACCCGGTCATAATTCCTTCTAGATGTTCTTGGCCGTTGGTGAGGATAGAGATGAGATTTTCCACTACAGCTGTGAGGAGACAGGCACAGTGAAGGTGGAGTTAACTCACTTCTTTCACTGCTTGCATATTTAGCAGTTTTGTCTAACCTACCTTAAAAAACAAAAAACAAACCTTAAGGATGAAGAGAGAAGTTTTTTTAATTGAAATAGTTCTCTTTTCAGCTACAGTGACAAGGTATGTTTTTAGGTTTGTTTTTTTTTTCCTTTTCATAAAGTGGATGTTTTCTTGAGTAGTAAAGAAGTATCTTCTGGTATCATAAATCAAAAAACAATTCATTTTTTTAACACCTCATGATAAATATTTATAACAACTACTACTAGGTGATTCCTGCATTTAATTATTTATTCTCTCCTGTGGTTGATCTGCAGCTGCTCTTTTAAGTGAGTTGCAGGGTAACATTTTGCACACTCAGTACTAGTCTGTGCCACCACTGCAGTAGGAATATCTTGGCACAGCTAGTAAAGTCCCCTTCTGGGACTGTCATATCTCTCTGTTCTGCTGGAATACTGGGTGTTTTTTCTGCATCTTTTTCTTAGGCATTTCTAATATACATGAGTTCAGAATAATTACTAAATGAATGATGCATGCAGATGCTAAAGATCAGTAGCAGAATGTTCAGTGAACCATACTGAACCATTGGTCATAATCCAGTGGATGGCATTTTCTCTTGATGGGGAAAGAGACAGGAGTAGCAGAATGTGTATGAAGGGACAGAGGGCCCTGAAGAGAAGGGCTTGGAGGTGTTGGTTGGTGAGAAGCTCAACATGACCTGGCAGTGTGTGCTCACAGCCCAGAAAGACAACTGTACCTGGGCTGCATCAAAAGTACCGTGACCAGCAGGTCGAGGGTGGCGATTCTGCCCCTCTACTCTGCTCTGATTAGATCCCACCTGCAGTACTGGAGTCCCCAGCATACAAAGGACATAGACCTGTTGGAGTGAGGATATTGGAGAGTTGGAACATGAAGACGATCAGAGGGCTGGAGCACGTTTCCTATAAGGGCAGGCTGAGAGAGCTGGGCTTGTTCATCCTGGAGAAAAGAAGGCTCGGGAGAGACCTTACAGCAGCCTTCCAGTACCTAAACAGGGGCTGCAATAAAGGTTAGAGAGACCTTTTACTAAGGCCTGCAGCAACAGAACACGGAAGTGGTTTTAAACTAAAAGAGGATAGATTTATACTATATATAAGGAAAGAAGTTTTTGCAGTGAAGGAGCAGGTTCCCCAGGGAGGTGGTAGATGCCTCATCCCTGGAAGTGTTCAAAACCAGGTTGGGTGAGGCTCTGATCAACCAGGTCTATTGGAAGATGTCCCTGCCTGTGGCACGGGGGTTGGAACTGTACAACCTTTAATGGTCCCTTCCAAACCAAAACATTCTATAGTTCTATGATTCTATGAATGATCATCTGTGCACATTTTTATTTTTACTCTGGCGATGATTTGGATATTGAAGTGAATCACTCTCAGTGTAGTTAACTGGTATTGAGGTGAATCACTCTCAGTGTAGTTAACTGGTATTGAAGTGAATCACTCTCAGTGTAGTTAACTGGTATTGAGGTGAATCACTCTCAGTGTAGTTAACTGGTATTGAGGTGAATCACTCTCAGTGTAGTTAACTGGTATTGAGGTGAATCACTCTCAGTGTAGATAACCAGCCACACTCCTGCAGACTTACTGTGGTAAGTAGCTACTGTATGCCTATATAGTTCAGAGGATGGTAGTTGTCCTTTATTAAATACTGACTTTCCATTACTCATTGTCAGATTTTTATTTGCTCAGAGAGCAGTATAAATTCTGTTAATTGTCATGTTGCTAGTGAATCTACCCTGCCTGCTCAGTAAATTTTAAGTCTTCTGAAATAGCATTTGACAGACTGTGAATTACCAGAGTTGTGAATTAACCTTGCTCTGCCCTTCTGCTTCACCTCTGCCTGCACAGTGGCATGGTGCCTGCCAGTATATTGCTTGTTCATCCTAGTCTCTGCTCTGTATACAGTGATAAGGATCTTGATGCTTTCTTTTCATAAGCATCCAGTCTTTTGCATCATCTTGTTGTGTATTGTCATTGCACACCATTGCCTTCAGGATTTTTTTGGGTTTTGAGAGCTCTTTCAGGAAGCTAAAGCCAAAGTCAGGGCCCAACTTGGACAGAAGACACTGTTTTTTTCTTCCCTCCTCGGGGAATATGATCTGAGCTGAGATTAAGCTTATAAATAAGATCAGGTATTGGAGTAGTTTAGGAATGTGAGTTATGCACAAAGACAAGAAAAGGTCTCGGGTTCTTTCTGCAGAAACAGATTATCTGGTTAAAGGTATGTGCTCTGAGTAACTCAGTCAACATCAAAGCAAAGGTGCATCTGTGGCAGTGCCTAGATATGCTCTGTGGAAATCTGCTAAGCCTTTGAAATCCAAGTGAACACTTAGAGCTAAACAATCCACTGTCAAACAAAATAATTTCCAAAGCTTAGGAAAGGTCATGTATTCTAAGTAAACTTTACAAAGGCCGGATGCTTGTGGGAATTTTGTTTGTTCTGTGTTCCTCTTGTTCCCCAGAGACTGTCTCCTGCCATAAGTACTAGTTCTCCTGTAAAAACATCATGCTTTTTGGAAGGTGCTGCTGGTTTTAAATCTCTGGGAATTGAGAAGAAGATGCAAAAGCAGTATACTACTCTGATATGTTTCAGTGAGACAGCAACAGCTTTGAAGCCCAGGTGTCACGATTCACTAGCAAGTCTATCAGAAGAGGCTGGCACTTATGGAGGCCAGTGTGACGTGGTGTATCACCTCCTTTAAGTGGTGGCTTGCATGTGTCACACAGCGTGTGGAAAGGAATGAGCAAAGTGAACCCAGGGCAGAGAGATGGTGTGGGACAGAGGAAGTGGGTTGAGAGGCAAAGCGTGGGAGAGTGTTTGAGTGGTGGTGACAGGGAAGGTGTGGGCTCTGCCTGCTTCTGGGGTACATTTACATCTATTGCTAATCATAGCCTCACCTCAGATCTTCTGTAGGAAATCTGATAGCAACACGCTGATGCCTGGCCCCTGAAGTCTAAGAATGCCTAACTTTGACTGCAGAGCAGCAATAAAAGCCTGTGTTTGGCTCAGTACTGTGCAAATACCCTGTAGCTTTTGCTTCTCATTTCATGTATCTAACCCAAGCACAACTAATGGCTTGAAATAAGGAGTACCCTGAAGAGGAAAAAGGAGGGAGTGAGTTGGGGGAGAGATTGAGAGCATGGGTAAGTGTGGTACAATTCAGAGCCCTAAAATAAGTTACTTATCTTGTGTTACTGTCTCTCAGAGATGGGTCAGTGGTGTGTTGGGAAGACACAGATAGCTGGAGTCAGGTTTTCTGGACTAAAGCTCAAAACAGCTTTACAAATCACCAGAAACTTGTTCCCTCTCTGATAAACATTGCAAAGACCGTAGCTGCAGGCTTGAATGCTGATGGGTTGTAAAGTGATAGCCAAGCTGGTGCAGAACAACAGCACTGGGGTGCAGGTGGGTAGGAAGAGCCTGTCCCAAGTACCCACAGAGGCAGGAGTCCCCTGCTAAAGTGGGCAACAGAATGAACTTCAGTGCGAGTCCCCCTCTTGTTAGTTCTGAGTGATTTGGAACAAATTTAGGGCTATAAATAAATAAAACCTTATAAACAGTTTCAGAAATCAGATGGATTTGTTTCTTATTAAGCAGACATCTCTTGAAATGCTGCAGCAACATAATCAAATTTCAGTCGCCATTTACTAGAAACAATAATTACTGTCAGGAATTAAAAGCTGATTCTACTCTTGCTGAAATTAAGACCACTGTTACAAGGAGTTACCAGACCATGTCTTACGTAGTTACTTCTCTGGGAACTGTTGCAGAGATTGTCTGAATGCACTAGTATATTTGAATAAAGAACAAATATGAAATCAGTCTTTAGGTTAGCTATTTGTTCTAGCTATTGGAGTCCATAGCTAGTTGATCCTCCTGCAAGATCGAAGTTGTAATGTTCACAATGTGGTAATCTCAGCTCATCAACCACAGGGCAAGGTGACAATTCCATTTACTCTGGGGTAGATAGGTCAAATCAGAATTCCTCCGGAAGGGCAAGTTCAGCGACAATGTTGAGAGTAGCTGACCCAACTGAGCTTTTGATTTTTCACTATGAAGTCTTCTAGCGCTTGCAGAGAACAACAAAACATGATGGTCTGTGGTGAAATGATTCTTTGGTTCTAATAGTACCAGTGTTGGAGTCAAGCAGTTGTGTCCTTGGGTGCTTACACTCTTGAGTATTTTGGATCTGAGCTGTGACACCAGAAGAACCAGATGTCAGGAACCTGTGCCGCAACACATTGTCTCTTCCCAGGAAATTTCTCTGCTAGGAAAGTCCCTGGGCTAGAGAGTTTGCAAATGTAAATGCTTTGTAAACAGACTTTGCAGAGGAAACCTTGTACCACCAATGAGTTCCTTCGGTGCCGTTCCTGGTTTCTGAGGTAAGCATTAAGGACTGTTACCTTACCCACACCACCCACAAAGGATTTCTGACACTGATGACCTAACCAAAAATCCAAAACCTGGAGAAAAAACATCACACCACCTAAATAAAAGATGTGTTGTCTTTTTTGCTTTCTTTTGTTTCCACATACCTCAGTTTGATTAACAGCCTTACACTGCAGTGTTGGTGGTAAATAGACAACTACACTGTCATGCCTAGAAATGCTGTGTAATTTATTCAAAGCACAAGATCCACCAGGGAGATCTCTGGACTTGAAAGTGCAGTCCTCAATTCTATAAATGTGTTCATCTACAGCCTGCTTTATCTTGTAGCAATAGCTTTGCCTAGCAATAACGTGGTATAGAAAGAATTGTATTTGCATGGGGAAGGGAGAGGAAACTTCCACTGAATGGCTTTTGCAGCATTACTTCATTATTTAAAGCCTAGTATTTAAGAAGCCACTGTCTGGGACCTGAGGAATGCTGATGTGCTTTGCAAATAATCCAAGCTGCTTAAGGAACTGTGCACAGAAATTAACCAAGACCGTGTACCTGCTCTCTGCAAACCCGTCAGTGTTGCTGGCAAAACCTTTTCTATATTCATCAGTGCAGTCCTGGCCACCACAGTGGTGGTAGGTGTTCATACCTTGGTAGTTGTTGCACTACTCCTCTTTAACCCACATGATCATTCCAGTGACATGTTTAGCATACTGCCTTTTGCTCAACCTTCTCTTAAAAAATGAGGAATAAGTTGCTTTTTCACAGCTCTGGGGCAAAAGGAGGCAAAGAGTTCACAATTTATTCCAATGTGGATACCAGCTGTGACACTAACAGTCACAGCACAGGTAGATGTCAGCAACCAAATGTCTCAGAAAGGTGCCCTAGCCAGGGGTCTCTATGTCTTCATCCTCCACATTTACCCGCTTTGTCCCTGACTAAGAATCGGGCACCAATTTGTGCCATGTAATGACAAATTCTCCAGCATAAGCTTGGAGCCCCATATTTTGCAGATGTACAGAGCTCTGTGTTTTTATTTGGCTAGAGGAGGTCTGGTACCTTACAGGCAGCCCTGCACTGGGGTGACAGTGCAGTGAGGAGTGTTTGCTTGACCTTTGGGTGGAAACATTGCTGAAAGTGAGGAAGCAGTCTCAGGATTCCGCTCCCACCTTCCTCCTTGATGCAATATGCCATGCTGGTGGTGGTAGGACAGGGCTGTCCAGGTCAGGCAGAGCAGGCAGGGGAAGACGGCAGGTGATGTCAGAGAAAGAGCTGGCCTAGCATGCTGGAGGTGCCACTCGGCAAAACCTCTTCATGGACAAAGCAGCTACAGTGAGTAACACATCAGGGATTGTGGTGTAGCACTGCAGCCCCTGTCCTTGGCAGAGGGAACTGGCATGAACTAAACACACCATTACTGGAGCTTACGTAATATTTACAGTAGTAGTACAATTAGGATTCACATTACTGTAATATCCTATTTTAATAAATCTTGTGTTAAGTTTCTTTGACACTGTGTGAGCTGGTTTGCTTGGTTTGGTTTTGCTTTTTTTTGTTTTGGGTTTTTTTGCTTGGCATCATCAAAACAGACATCTTCAGTGACATCCAGGTCAGATGGTTTGTATTAAAGATCATGGTTCATACAAAAACTTGTAAGGGTTCATCAGTCAGAAGATAGCGACTTCCTCCTATAGAAAACATGCCAGATTATGGAATTTCTGGGTAGATAATGCAAACAAATTCTTGTTAGCACTATCTGGCCTCAAAAGCAGGAACAGTGTATCAGAAACACAGCAGTAGTTGCAGTCTGGTTGCTTGTTTGTGTGACTGAACTACATTTTTCGGTAGCACAAATCCATTTGAAACAGTAAGACCAACTTGGCTTTAAAAAGGAAGCTTTCAGGAAGAAGTGATTCACAAACACTTCAATTCTGACTTGTGCCCGTATCCTAGACTTGATGCTGTGAAAATTACAGCTTCCTGGATGCTACTAGTGGTATGTACTATGCATGGTCCCTATCAATGTCAATGCCCCTAACAGAGATACAGAGTGAAACACAAGAGGGGAGCATTAGCTGGTGTAAATGGTCATGGCTCAGGTGAGTAACTTCAGGAGGAATCATGGATAAAGAGCACTTCATCTCTATTGCCTCAGGCCTAACTGCACATTACGTGCCACGCTTTTAAATTAGCAGTAACTTTGCTAGGGAGTGAAACTATAACCTGACTAGTGTAGAAGGTCTCAGAACAAAGCAGGGTTTGAAATACACTGTAACTTGGACAGTGGAACTGGAAAAGTTTTGGGGATCTTGCTACCGTTTCTGCAGCATTTGCTCTACCTACTTCTCTGCATTTCCCTGCCTGTCTTCCCTAGCACATGGCTGAAGAACTGTGTCACCATGCAATGCTTCTTGGTCCCTTCCCACACAAGCCTCACAGATGTCTGCTGCAGTGTGCAAGCCTGGGAGCTAAGGTCTGCTCGTCCAGGCAACACTCCCACCTAACTTGCAGCCAGACAAGAGCACCTGGGTCATGGAAGGAAAGCTTGCGTGAGTGTAGGGAGAGTTAAGAGAGGTTTTTTTGTTTCCCAGGAGTTGTTAAAAGAGAGATCAGGCAGAAGGAGGGCAAAGCTTGCTGCTGTGAAGGGAAGAACATGTCACAGCTGGGGCATATTTCCTCACAAGCTGGACAGGAAGATCTTTGCTTCAAGATCTGAATAGCTAATGCCAAATTGCTGGGCATAAGCAACAAATGCTATCACCGCTATTTACATTCAGTCTTCATTATATGCTCAACAGGGATCAAGGGTCAAGTGGGTGATGCACACAGACATCGCTACCCTACAGCAAGCATGGTGAGAGACATCACCTGCCTGACTTCCCAGCTAAGGAAAAAAACACCATCCCATTTTAAGGGAAAATACTTGGAAACAGCAAAGCTATCTGACTACTGGGACAGACCTCAAATCCGTGAAAATAACCCGTACAACATAACAGTCAAACTTCCTCTTAATACAGTTTGCAGCTGGCAACATGTATGGTATACCTCGGAAAGAGCAGGAGGGATCTTACAGAGTGCCTTTGGGCCCCTTGCTAGGAGCTGAGTTTGAAGAGGCCCTCGCGGTTATCTTTCCTCCCTTCTGTTACGCTCAAGGTCTTGTTTATGGGCAAAAAGGAAACACCTTACATACAAGTAAAGCCAAGAATTTTCATTTAAATATGAAGAGTCTAGCCAATCCAAATCTAATTGTTGCAGAAAAAAAAAAAAAGGAATAGTAATGTAATTAAAATGCTTCGATAAGGGAAAAGTGTCAGTAATAATATGAATAATGGAATTAAAATTATAACACACTTCTAGTTTTTATCCATTTTCTTGGGATTGTGCTCTCCCTTCTGTTTTTCCTTTGAATCTTAAAAGTCAGCATCTTCAGCCTGCTGGATGATTTAACACTGTAAATCTTCAGCTTCTGGTGTCCTTTGTTGGAGATATTATCACCCTTATTTTCTAGTACCTACTTATATTCACACCTTTTTTTTACTGCTCTGCAGCTCCATGTAGTAGCAGCTGAATTTAGTGTATGTGGGGTATTTCATGTATGCTGAAAGCTATTTCTTTGTCCTCTTTACTACCCTTAAACCCAGGTTTGTCCAGCTCCTGGTCTGCATTTCTCTAACTGGACATTGATGAGGAGCTGTGGGTTTTCCAGTGCCAAGCCAGCTTTTATATTTCGTGGCTGTACTGCTCTATACTGCATGCTGTGCCTCCAGTTCTCAGGGCCTCCTGCAATTGTACCAGTCTGGTCTTTCTCAACCCTGTATTGCCATAAACATGTCATTATGCATAAAATTACTGCCTATTACTGCCATCTGTATAAAACTGCATTACACAAAGATAAAATTAAAACAAACTACGTAGGCAGCTGGTCAGTTAGGGGAATTGCTGTCAAAGGAAAGAATAAAACCAAGCTACAGGCAGATCAAAAAAGGTTCAGACAAAACAAGCCCAGCAAGCCCTCTTCCTGAAGCTCTGCAAACTCACTGCAGAGCTGGTTGCCTGCTGACAGCAGTGGCAATGCCATGTTACAAGTCTACACTGCTGCACATCCCAGCATTTCTTGCCTGTCTTTCAGGGAATAAGGAATGCTATCACATTTTATGATGTATATCCAAAGCAAGACCATACATCCGTAACTGAGTGTTCACTGGTGGAAAAAATCATGCAGATTTTGGAAGTTTTAGAGATCAGTAGCTTTGAGAGGAGCAAGAAAGCAAAAGCTCTTGGTTTTGTTTGGTTTTATTCCCCTGTATCATCCTGCACTGAATTAAGGTTTTGGTGCACACATATTTTAGGACCTTTCCCACCGCTATGATGCCACTGAAGTCAAAAGATTTGAATCATTTGTGTCAAAGGCACGAGAAAATCTTTCTTGTAAGATAATCCTCTCAGCACTGTAATATTTTTCATTTTGGTGTCTTGTCATACACAGGGGGTAGTAAGCAGATGGAACTTTTTACAGACACTCCTTCATGTGAATTCTTTTGAAAAGGGACTTTCAAGTACTATCTATTTGGCTCAAGTCTTTAATGTCATTGTAGCAGAAGGAGACAGACCAGTATAGAAAGATATTCTGAATTCCATTTCTAAACCTGCTGTGTGGGAGAAAGGAAACCTGTGAGATTGAGATCATGATTTCAGCTACTGAAGGGAATTACCTCTGTTTCATTCCATGTGAAGAAGCATTAAAAAATCCCCAGAATTTTAAAACTGGAGTAGGTATTTGGTTTTAATTTTGCATATCAAAAGCCAGAGGGGAAAGAGAAACGTCTTTGTGCTTCATTGTTTCAGTGATGGCTGGCTGACAATCTGCAGCAAGATCCATGAAGAGCCAAAGCACTCTGGGCTTATCAGACATTATGATTGACCTGAAACTGTATTGCAGAAAGCTTTTCCATCAGAAATTTTAAATGTGTTTTGTCTTAATTTACAGTAAAATTAATCACCTGGGTCAGAGCAATCCCAGGCACAGCTACAGGCTGGGCAGAGAACAGGTTCAGAGCAGCCCTGTGGAGAAGCACTTGGGGATGTTGCTCGATGAGAAAATGAACATGAGCCAGTTTCAGTGTGTGCTTGCAGCCCAGAAAGCCAAATGTGTCCTGGGCTGCATGGAATGCAGCACAACCAGCAGGTCAAAGGAGGTGATCCTGCCCCTCTACTCTGCTCTTGTGAGACCTCACTTGGAGTATTGTGTGCAGTTCTGGTGTCCTCAACATAAAAAGGACATGGAACTGTTGGAACAAGTCCAGAGGAGGCCACGGGGATGATCAGGGGACTGGAGCACCTCCCGTATGAAGACAGGCTGAGAAAGTTGGGGCTGTTCAGCCTGGAGAACAGAAGGCTGTGTGGAGACCTCATAGCAGCCTTCCAGTATCTGAAGGGGGCCTATAGGGATGCTGGGGAGGGACTCTTCATTAGGGACTGTAGTGACAGGACAAGGGGTAATGGGTTAAAACTTAAACAGGGGAAGTTTAGATTGGATATAAGGAAGAAATTCTTTCCTGTGAGGGTGGTGAGGCACTGGAATGGGTTGCCCAGGGAGGTTGTGAATGCTCCATCCCTGGCAGTGTTCAAGGCCAGGTTGGACAAAGCCTTGGGTGACATGGTTTAGTGTGAGGTGTCCCTGTCCACGGCAGGGGCGTTGGAACTAGATGATCTTAAGGTCCTTTCCAACCCTAACTATTCTATGATTCTATGATTCTGAAAAGGAAACACACAACTGCCTTTGAAAGGAAAAGTCCATGATATTTTTCTCCTCACCTGCAAGTGACTTTCTTCCACCCATCACCTTCAAGAGAAAGAGTCATAAGGATGTAATTTTTGCTGACATCATTAACTCTAAGCTCTAAGGGCTTGCATCATCTGAGCCTTTTATTTAGGTCTCACTGATATCTGCAAAACACCTGTTTTGCTGTCAAACTCCAGAGAAAGAGAGGTTTGGCAGTTTCTCCCATTTCGCATTTGTGAAGCCACAGAAGTTCACAAGCTCTAGCTGGAGTCTCCTGTCTCAGTGCTCTGCTTCCTCCAGTATTGAAAAGCATGTCCAGACTGGATGCTGGAGGATGATACTGGAAAAAAAACAATCCAAAAGCCAAGCTCTAGGAAACCAGGAGATAATGCAGAAGGAACCTGTCTTCATCTTTATCCATATGCATACCCTGTTAGAGCTGTGGGCTCATATCAGAACTCCAGGCTGTGATGGCAGATGCCCCATATCTCTCTGTTGAGTGTTATGAATGTCTGTGAGAGCCTCGCTCCCTTGACAGATTGAGGAGAAATGGACACCAAACTCCCTTGGGCTTTCCTTGTTGGTGCCAAAGGTACTTACCCTTTCCGCTGTTTAGCGATGGAATACGTTCACTAAGTTTAAGAGAGACACTTTCCCAGGGACTTAAAATTTAAGGACTTATGAAGGTAGTCTAGCTGCTACACAGATTTAATTGCACCAAGGCTAAAA